TTTGGGTGTGGGGTGTGTCATTATAGACAGAGAGAACAAATGAAATCTTTGTAGCAAACCTGGGACTATGTAAAAGACAGCAAACAAATACAATTAAGAGAAAGTAGAAAAACAAGATAAATGGATACTAACCTATCCATCACAGGGATTACTAATTGCATTCGACACACTTCTGTTAAATGACAGCTCAAAATTCTATCAAGGCACCACCACTGACTTCCACAAATAAGTGGAAGATAAAAGGATGGAAAAGATATTCTCTGCAAACAGTGAGCTGAAAAGCAGTTGTGACTATATTAACACCAGGTAAAGAAGGCTTCAAGACAAGGAGGTGTGCCCAAGATAAAGAGGAATCTTTTAGTATGATAAAATACCGATCCATCAAGAGGACATAACAATCTTCCTAAATATGCATGCATTTAATAAAAGAAATTCAAGCACATGAAGCAAAATGGAAAGAACAAAATATACAAATCATGAATATAGGTTTATATTTTAACATACCTTCCTCAATAATTATTACCAGAACAAGTGGAGGAAAAAATTAGTGCAGAATTTGAAAATATGAATAACACTATTGGCCAGCCTGATAGTCACAGAACCCGGCCACCAACACACTCCATTCAAGCACAAGGGGTCACTCACCAGGACAGATCATATGCTGGGCCAGAGAACAAGTCTCAAATGTTTCAAAAGTAAATATAAAGTATATTCTCTGACTATGAAAGAATTAAAGCAAAAAACATATTTAGAATGGTTTCAAATATTGAGAAATTAAGCAACATACTTCTATATAACATATGGCTCAAAAAATTACACAGAAAATTAAAAATACTTCAAAATAGTATTGAAAACACAACATATTAAAATATATGGGACTCAGCTAAAGCAGTGCTAGAGGGAACTTTATAACTTTAAATGCTTAAATTAGAAAAGAAGAAAGATTTAAAGTCAATGATATATCATTCTACCACTTGAAGTAAAAAAATAAACAGAAAATTAAATACAAAGTGAGCAGAAGGAAGAAAACAAGAGATAAGAGCATAAATAATAGAGAAAATCATAAAGACATGGTCATCGATAACTGCCAGTTTCTTTACTTGTGGAATTTGTGCTTCTCGTTCACGCAAACTTTAGCACTGTCAGACCACTTTTGTCTTGAAGAGAATACAGTAGAGAATATTTCCACTGAACTTGAAGCTGTTACTACCACCTGGTCACTTGAGCTCCTGATACCAATGAATGAACGAAGTGGAGAAAACTTACAATATTAGTAGGAGTAATTGTCACTGGTTACCATGGGAATCAGGGTTATTGCTACACAATGGAGTAAGCAAGGAACATATTCGGAAGCCTGGGGATTCCTTGAAGCATCTCTTGGTGCTTTCATGACTATTGACAATGGGTACCAGGCAACTGCAGGAAACGTGTCCTGACAAGGTCACTGCAGATCTCTCTGTACACCCTGAGTTGCTTTATTTGGAAAGAAAGCCAGGCCAGCCAAAGTGTTGCCTATGGATGAGGATCAAGGTTGGGTGCTACTGGAGAGAGTTGATGAATATCAAATATGGCCTCAAGACCTCAGGGTTTGGAGCTGGTTGCACTATTTTGTATAAAGTCTTTGAGGAGTTTTGTGTGGCTACCACTGTGATAGGTGAGACTTACAAGTAAAGGAGAACATTTGCATATTTGAGTGGTGGACAGGGTCAGCTGTTAATGGACTTCACTCTCATGCTATTTTATATTCTCTCAGCCCCATCTCTTACCCTAGCCACATTTGCAGAGACCAGTTCCAAGAAGGGTTGCATAGAGCCTTGCTTAAGGACCACATTACATTCTTCTTTCTCCTGCCCTGGGTTTCTCCGATATCATGGCAGGGAACTGCCATGGGAACTCCCTTGGCACTCAAGCATGTATAATCTGAGAGTATGGGGAATAATCCTTATGGGGCCAGCTTTGAACAATGGGGACAGGAGCCCCCTCAGAAAGTCCTACGTTATGGATTCCCCCAAGAGTGGTGGTCAATTTAATAAAAACACATTGTTTTTTTAATTTAAAAATTTTTTAAATTTATTTTTAGAGGGGAAGGGAGGGAGAGAAACAGCAATGTATGGTTACTTATTGCACACCCCTACTGGGGACCTGGCCCACAACCTAGGCATGTGACCTGACTGAGAATTGAGCCAGTAACCTTTTGGTTTGCAGGCAGGCGCTCAATCCAGTGAGCCACACCAGCCAGGGAAAAACACATTGTTTTACTGACTTTTTATCCTTCTCTGTTTTACCTGATCTGCCCTCAGTCCTGCTCCCTGGGCTCACCTCCCAAATGAATTAACTTCATTCAAGGCTTTGTCTTAGCTTCTGCTTAGAGAAAACCCAGTCTAGGACACTGATCTTTATAAACAGAATGAATTTCCTCTGGCCACCCAGAGCTACGTTCATTCTTAAGTTCATTCTTAACTTTCTTTAGAAACCATTCAATGCAACTGGGAGTTAGCGTGCTTGGATAAGACAATACCACTTCAGCAGATTTCCAGAAGACTTTCTTCCTTGTTGACTTCATTGCTAATGGTCTCATTTTTGCCCCTAGTTCTTTTTCTTGTAGGACTTTGAAATAACACACCCAATGTCTTTGAAACAAACAAGGAAAGCAAAAATCCAGCTAATCTTTCCACATTGACCCTGCTGGTAAATTTCCAGGATTTAGTAAATAACCCATGTATGAAAGTATTCCCCCTTACCCTTTCATTGTTGTCATTTATTTTCTTTGCTATTTACAGAGTCATGAAACCTTGTTTTCTTTCCTTTAAATGCAAAAGACTGTTTTCTTTGGCACAGCCCCAGAGTACAGCAAAGGTTAAATCTGCGGCTGTGTGAAAGAGTCGAATTTGTTTAGAAGTTACGCAAAAGGCCGTGAGAGCAGGCGACCTGGATTATAGGAAGTAGCCCCAGGAAACTCGGAGTATTTTATTTTCTGTCTTTTTGCCAGAATGCTGCTTGTCCCCAGACTAATAGTAATTTTCAATAAGGTCAAGATTTATTCTAGTCGGAATCTCATAGGATACCAGACATATTGCTTTCTTACAAGCAAAGTCTTACCCTTACAAAATCAGGAGGAGAAACATTGAGGAGAAAATGATGTATTTAGCTCGGGGTTCTACATGACAAATGGCTCTGAACAATCTTCTCAGGTCAATCTTGGGAGAGTAGTCTCCCTAGCAAAGAAAAAGAATTGACTAGATACACGCACATCCATCATACCTGAAGAGAGATTCAGACTGTGTAAAAGATAAACAAATAAACAAGTGAACTTCAGAAGAACACAGCAACTTCCCCTGACTCATGAAGAGAAATTAGAAAGCTGAAAATCAGGAGGTTCAAGAGTGAATGTGAGGACTTATACAGAGATGCTGTAAACAAAAGGTACCTGCCAACATTCAGTGATGGGTGGACAGTGTGCTTTTGAAGTGACAAAAGGGTAGAAATCCAGATTTCTCAAAGGGGAAGGGTCAAAGGATTGTGTATGTTGACCATGCATCAGGGATTTGAGTTCAGGAAAGGGAAGGGGTGAAATCTGCCCCAATTTTAGCTATCTGCACCATTACGATCAGGAACTTTCCTGAGTATCATAAATAACATGTAAGAACATGTATAAACATGGAAGTAGATTTTGGTGTTTACTCATCTGAATCTTACAAGAACTAAGAAAAACAACCAGACGGTGGACAGATAGCTCAGTTGGTTAGAGCGTCATCCCCATATACTAAAGTTCTGGGGGTTCAGTTCCTGGTCAGGGCACATATAAGAATCAACCAGTTAATGCATAAATAGGTGGAACCAGAAATTCATGTCTCTTTGTCTCTCTCTCTCTTTCCCCTCTCTCAAATCAATAAATTTAAAACAAACAAGCAGAAAGGCAGAAATGTTTACGAAGGAATTTAAAATGGTGGTATTCACTTGAAATGTTCCTTTATTGAATTTTACTTCAAGAATGGAATATTATTATAATCCTATCAGCACAGGTTCCTGGCTTCTAGATTTTTTTTCCCCATGCAACATTTCTTTTTATTTACTTCTAGGACAGTACCTGGATTCTGCCACATCCTTAGCCCACCCCAATGGTCCTGTTCCATACAGTATCTTCAAGCTTGTTTATTTTACCTTCACACAAGTTGGGTTTCTATTGCTTCTCAGTATTAAATATTTCTTTCGGTAATTTATATCATTTTTACTTACCTTATTCCAACTCACGAGAAGTGACTATCATTATGACTTTCACCTTGAGATATTTAAATTGTAAACAAGTTTAATAGAAAATGACCTTAAAAAAGACTGGCCTGATGAAGACCAAAATTTAGAAGACAAAAAAACGTAAAATTTCCCATGTTTAATTTTTCGTAAGATTGTACAGGACCAAACCTGGTGACTGAATTGCTGTTGGTGTCAGCAAGGAACCCTTTAGGGAATACAGGCTGCAACTCTAAAGACCACACACTCTGACAATCTTATGTCACCACATGGTAACCATCTGGCAATTACAGCTTGAAGATAAGATAATTATTTTTAAAAATACACTCGGTTAATTAAGTCAAACAGCTATTTAATGCAATTGCAAATTTGGCTGAATAAATTTCCAATGTATAAACAAAATAGCTAGCTATTCAACCAAACTTGGTATTTTTTATGTAGAGGTTCAGATATCATATACAGATACCAAGCCAGAACAGAATCAACTAATGATCACTTTTGGGCTATTCTAAAGGTTTCATTCATTACACTTCAGTTCACTAAAAAAATGTCAATATTATCTGTGTCTCAAATTCTATTTCTTCCTCCTGTAATTTCCTTTCTTGGATTACACAGAATATTTCTTTCATCTTTTATACTGTTATCTATATTGTTCTTTTCTTCTCCCCATTTATCCTTCCATTTGAATGCTTTTTCTCTGTTTTACATTTTCGGTGTTTAGAAGAAGATAATGGAAAAGCCACAAAGCTTACCATTTCCACCAAGGACAAATATAAGAACATCCCAGCAGTAACTGTCAAGATCCAATTTTGAATGCAAGGATCAGTTGATACTGAGAGGCCGATATACAGTCCTATGAAGGCAGTTAGAGCACTTATAAAATTCATCAGGACGGCAATTTTAACAGGAAGTCCAGAGCTTAGCAGCACAGCAAAGTCTCCTGAAATTTAAGGAAAGAGAAAATATAATTATCAATTAACTGATGATGGCTTTGGTAGAGTAACATGCTATTAGGTTGTTTCAAATGTCAGCACCTGGGATCAATTTTATAAGTTAAGCTGAAAGGTCAGGTTAGAAACCATTTTCCTAGATTTCTCTAGGATTCATAGCTAACTCACTATGCAATTAAGAAGTTACATTTCAAGAGTTCTGTTCCTTTTACTGCTCCCAAAGATAGCATACACAGAGAACTGTGACATACTCTTTAGTTTCCGACATCCTGTGGTCTTCTGGCATTTGCAGCTTAGATAAATGCAACATAAAGCATTTGCTACCCCAGGATTTCTAAATCTTTTTCCCTGAAAACTTGTCAAACAAAATCACAAGGTAGTAAACATGATGTGGGCTTTCGTTATTTGCTTATAGAAACTGTTTTGGGAAAAGAAAACCACTTAATGTGAGATTTTCAGCTCATTGCCAAAGTTGACAAGGAAAACGTTTTCCTTTAGAAAATGTATTAAGATCTTAATGATTTGAAAACAACACATTCACTCCTTTCCCCCAAGAGAAGAATGGCCTATTAATCTGAGAGCCTCTATTTCTTAGTTTTGGGGATGAGACAAGGCTGAAATTCAATAATGAGAGCCTGGAGACTGAGTTTCCTAGTCCCATTATATAGCTAGTCTATGAACAGATCTTAATGCATCTTTGCTGGCCTGCCACAGATGGTCACACTTCTCTGAGGATTTACTATAGTGGCTTAAAGCAGGACCATGGGATAGGGCACCAGAACCAGGCCCATTTCAATGGGTTCAGGAAGGACGTTGAATAAACTGCTTCAACAGGGGTGGGTCAAGGATGAGCTGGCAAAGGATTTCTGGTAACAGACACTAAAGACAGAGGACAAGGTTGGTCCAAAAGGGCAACGAAGGTCTGAAATGAGAGCAGAAAGAGTAACAGCCAGAGCCCTCTCTCTAGGGTACGTGTGCGGCTGGGGCCAGCCTCTACTATTTCTGGGTCTGTTTCATTAATGTATATTCTATCTCGTCTTGATTTCTGGGAGGCAGGATTTGAATTTACAGGGCTATTAAGATTATCCAGATAAACAGTCTTATGTGCATCTGCTACCAAACGCCTGTCATATCAATTTTGCAGTTGGCTTTGGATATATTGCATAAATCCGGTTGGTGAAACCATAGTATGGCTTTAATTTAAATGTTACTTTATCCCATTGACCTGTTTGCTGACATAATGGGTAAAATTCCCCTCTTAATGTTTTTCCCACATTTACTATGCAGAATTTTAAATTCTTGCCAAAGTTCTTTAAAAGGAAGTTTCTCTAATGACTTTCTCCCATATAGAATTCTCCAGAATAAAGACTCACTTCTTGCCCTGGGAAGTATAACCGTCTGACTGCATTTTATCCCAAGGTAAAGTAATTTTTGCTAGTTCTCTTCTGCTTTTAAACATAAATTATGGAAGAAAAGTAGTTGTCTTTTTATCATAGTTTAGAAAAGGAAGCCTAGGAAACCATAGCTAGAAGTTATTACGATTTTCTCAACAAGCAGAAAACAGTGATTCTACTGTCAGACTCACCCATTTCATGTGGAATCTCATGACACAAGATAGCAATTGTTGTGGTTACTCCAGACTCAGGGGAAGACGAGAAGGCTGCCCCTACGACGAGGCCATCTGCGAAGTTATGCAGGCTGTCCCCAACCAGCACCATGATTGCTAACAAGCTAATGGATTTGCCTAAAAAAGTCAGATAAAGGTGTGAGAAGCATGAACAGAGCGCCATTTCTTTTTCTTTTTTTAATTTATCTTTAGAAGGGAAGGGAAGGAGAGAGGGAGAGAAATATCAAGGTATGGTTGCTTCTTGTGCGTCCCCCTGCTGGGAACTGGACTGCAACCCAGGCATGGGCCCTGACTGGAAATCAAACCGCTCTCTTTTGGTTCGCAGGCCCGTGCTCAATCCACTGAGCTACACCAGCCAGGGCCAAAGCGCCATTTTATGTAACCTTTCAAACCCGACCAACTTTCTCATCCACCTTTGACATTCTTAAATTGCTTCGGATTAAGTAACCCCACTCTGTTTCAGCTTTCAAAATAAGTCGGGACTAGAGAGGCAAATCTGGTCACCAATATGCTTGGATATATGGTCACTGTTTTTTAGCGGATCTGACTAATAATGAGACAAATTGTGCTTGGCATTCACTATTTTATCACCTTGCTGAACTGTGCCCTACCCCCCCCCCCCCAAAAAAGAGGAAAAATAAAAATAGTATTGTTATAACCTCCCAAAATACCAGCAATGACCTTTGTAAAGCATTTTAAGATAATTTAATATCCTCCCTGCATTAAAATGGAGTCTATTTTAAAAAACAGTCCCCCTCTGAGCCTGGCTGTCCCTAGTGTCAACCTGCAGGCAGACACTCTCTGCTAGTGTGTGCCTGGTTGTTGCTAATCACCCTGATGAGGTGCCTCATTCAGTTGCCAGTTGGGACCACGACAGAGCCACTTCCAGCTCTGCTGATCCCAAAGCTAGCTTTGGAACAATTACTTAATGTTCTTATCTTTCTCAAAATAACTTTCAGTACTAGACAAGCTGGACATTGAACAAAATAAGGAGAAGCTGTTTTCATGAGATTCTATTGCATAATATACATGACCTGATCAGTGAAGAGTCAATGAACTAATTTAGATAATAATAGGCTTAATTAATGAAATAATTCAGATCATAACTGTGTCAAGTTTTTAACACACAGAATTCCTGTTTTCAAAACTTAAGCTTGTATGCTTGTATAACCAATTATGGAGTTGAATGACTCTACAAAAGGTATTTCAGAAATAACATTTATTCCAACATTAACAACCTAGGTATACCATTTGATAAGAAAAGCCATTCAAATCAATTGCCACAGTCTAAAAATTCATTAACCGATCGGTTGTTCTATACTGTGTGACAGATCTAAGCAGTAGCTGCTGTTACTGATAGAACTGAACACAGTATTCTAATGATGGTACACTCAAAAATAGGAAGAGGTTGCCTCCTGGTTTCTGTTGTGTGGTCTAAGACCACAGGGGGGACTGTATTATAGCATGGTTTGCTGTCTTGCATGGGGGGTATAATTTGACTCATTTCATACCCCACACCATGAAATACATAACTCCAGGCGAGTGAAGAGAAGACACAGCCTGCACTATTATCCAGACTATCTCCTGGATAGTCTCCTGTTTTGACTGTGTTTCAAAGATTTCTCATGCATTTTGCTTCCAAAATTTAGAACTGTCACTGTGAGACTGATATCCTTCTTGTGGTTTACTAATTCATTTTATTTTTTTATTCAAAATAAAAATATTCCAGGCAACAGTCATAAAAACACAGACTTACATATCAAACTATTGAATTCAGGGAGTTCTTGTTGGCTTTGCCTGAAAGCTCTCAGAATCCAATAACTCTACCAGGTTGCTTAGCTGTTCCTGCCACTTTTCAGAAATAAAACTCTTTGTGAAAGTATAATAAAATGAAATAACTTCAAGTTATCCATTGGACAATATTGCAGAATGCAAATAAGCTATAATTTTCACATGCCCACATGTAGTTTTGATATTAATAGCTTATATTCAAATGGAAATTTTTTACCCAAGTTGTCTTCTGCTAAGAAACAGTGTGGCCTATTTTTGTTTTCTGGTATTTTGTTTTCTTTCATTGTGGGTTTCTACATGTCAAATCATGGACATGTAACCAGCCACCAGACAAATATACGTTTTGCACGTGAGCCACGAGGAACACATTGTGCAAATTGTTTAAAATAATTAAAAATTATTCAACAGAAGGTAAAACGAGTGTTCACTGGTAATTTAATATACTCATTACAGAATTATCATTAATATTCACCTTTCCTTATGTATCTGGCAGTCATACTGAGTTCCACGTTTCTGAGTTCCCAGAGATTTTCCATGGCAAAACATGGGCTGGACCTTGTATCATTTTGCTTTTTGTTTATTTAAATCTCTTTTTAAATAGACTGTGGATAGGATTTTCACATCCTGTCTTTTGAAACACAAGCTGAACTCTACCAATGAGGTAATATGAAACAAGTAATCAAATATCTGAAGCTAATTCAATACGTGCCTGGCAAAAGGACAGTTGAGTAATCGAATTTGGGTTGGTTCGCTATTCCTTCTATATGCCAACCTTGATATCTGAAGTGGAAAGATATGAAGCCTACAAAATATTGGAATAAGCCGATCATTACCCTCTGATCTAGCATCTGCTCCTTGGTCTTAATTTGACTGAGCAGATCATTCTTGCCTTTTGCTTTCTTTCAAAAACAAAAACAAAGATGTGAGTGTTGTAGGCCTACCAAGTGCCAGGCATTCTAAAATGTCTCCTGGAACTGAAGATTTAGAAGAAAAAAATGTACTATCAATGTCCTGAAAGCAGAATTAGTTGGAAATACTAGATACATACATATTTTAAATCGAATAAATTATAGGAGTTAATATGTCCAACACATTTAGAATGGTGATTGGTACGATCATGCTTGTTCTTACTAGCATGTATACCCCCAACCATGCTGCAGTCTAGAGATTAAGACCATTTTTATTTTTATCCTCTCATGCATCAGTGCCTGAAACAGGGCACATCCTCGAACCTGTCTTAAGTGACAAAATGTGAGTAAACACATGGATGCGTGCATTAATGAATGGTCACAAAGCAATCACCGATTCATTAGCATTTACTTAGTTCTTCAGTGCTGGGGCTCACTGGCTATTTGGGCAATGACTTATCCTTTCTAACAATTGGTTTCTTTACTTGTATAATTTGAATAATATTTGTTCTTACTTTATTAAGCTGTAGGAAGATTAAATGAGATGATTCATATCTAGATTTTAGCATTGTGCTTGGCATATAATAATTGTTCAGTAAATGGTAGCTGTTTTTATTATTGGGCAATAACTTATTCTTGTAGAATGGGAATAATTGATCATAGCTGCTTAACATTACAACACGGAGAAGCCTGTACCACAAAAAAGTAATATACATGAGGAAAAGGGGGCAAAAATTCAAGAGCAACTGATGAAAACCAAAAGAGACCAAATATAAATAAATAAATAAATAAATACATAAATACATAAATAAACTCTTTAAGAACTATTTTCAAATATAAGCAAAAAGAAATAAGTTCTTATCCCAAACTGGTAAATTAAACTCAGAAGTAGAGAAAGTCATAGAAATAAAAGGTTGGTTGAAAATTATATAAATAAATCAGTTATAGAATAAGGTGTGAATAACAAGGTGCCACTGATTTGAACACCATCTTCAATGGCAATATGAAACAAATGAGATAGGTATTCATGACCAATTTTTAGTAGACAATGATAGAAGACAAAAAAAAACAAACCATGATGTCTTCAAATTTCACAGTGAAAGGTTTAACCATCTTGTAAGCATGTAAGCATTATTTTAAAGGAGCTCTGATAACCACATATGTGTTTATAATAATTGAAGTTTTTAGAAGATCAGTTTTTAAAAATTGGGGAAAATAGCATTTTTAAAGAATGGAGTACATTTGATATTAATGTGTTGTATGTTTGAAAGGCTGATGGGAATAAGTCTTTATTAAAAATTCTATTGCAAAGACTTTAATAATAAAATGTTTACCCAAATGAAATTTATGACATTTATTTTAAAGCAGACATAACCTTTTTCTGTGGCATTTTCTACAGTTAACATTTAACTGTTTTCAATTAGTACTCACATTCTCTGTTGGAGGCTGTCATGCTGCCTATTGGAATTTCAGCTGCCTGGGAGTCTTCTGGGCCTTTCTATCATCAATTTAAAAATAAATGATAAAAGATAAGCAGCAGTCATCATTTTTGTTAAAAAGTGAAACACCTGAAGAGTTATATTCATTTTTAAAAGACATTTTTAATGCTCTAGAGTAAGCTAGAACTTGTAAACTTTATGGACAAACACAGAAGGTAGGGCTGAGAGTCTGCAAGCAAGCCTTTGGCACTATCTGTGTGCAGATGGAGACAGCGCTCACAGAGATCAGTCTCCCGTGGAGTGCGGAGGAGCCATCTGTAACTCAGACTCCTAAATCATGTAAGCCTTTAGGAAAGCCAAAAGTTGTAGAAAAAACGGATTCTAGATCCTTGACCTAATTTGGCTCTTCTACTGATTGTGCATCTAGAATTCATCTTCAGATCTTTAAGCAGATCATGTGCCGTGGATGGAGACCGCATACCAACACCATACCTGATTTCATTCATTGTGGCCTAATACTTTGATTTTGTTGCTTTACCAGTCAGTAAGAGTCTTGCCAATTAAGAAAGAAAATCAACAGACTTAGAAAAGCAAATATAATCAATTTTTAAAGTTTTATGATCCTTTCATAGGACATGGAAGTAAGATTGTGTTTTTTAAATATATTTTATTCATTATACTATTACAATTGTCTTATTCTCTCCCTCCCCCCCCCCGCCCTTTATTCCCCTTCGCCCTGCACTCCCCTCCCACCTACATTCCCTCCCTTTAGTTCAGGTCCACAGGTCATACATTTCCTATACTACTCTTACCCTCCCCCTGTCTATTTTGTACCTACCATTTATGCTATTTATTCTCTGTACCTTTTCCCCCTCTCTACTTGTACGACCCCCTGCTGATACCCTGCATGTGATCTCCATTTCTGTGGTTCTGTTCCTGTTCTAGTTGTTTGTTTAGTTTGTTTTTGTTTTTATTTTAGGTGTGGTTGTTAATAACTGTGAGTTTGCTGTCATTTTACTGTTCATACTTTGATCTTCTTTTTCTTAGATAAGTCCCTTTAACATTTCATATAACAAGGGCTGGGTGATGATCAACTTCTTTAACTTGATCTTATCTGGGAAGCATTTTATCTGCCCTTCCATTCTAAATGATAGCTTTGCTGGATAGAGTTATCTTGGATGTAAGTCCTCACCTTTCATAACTTCAAATATTTCTTTCTAGCCCCTTTTGCCAGCAAGGTCTATTTTGAGAAATCAGCTCATAGTCTTATGGGCACACCTTTGAAGCTAACTGTCTCCTTTTCTCTTGACTCTTCTAGAATTCTCTCCTTAATTTTAATATTGGGTAATGTATTTATGATGTACGTTGGTGTGTGCTTCCTTGGTTCCAACTTCTTTGGGACTCTCTGAGCTTCCTGGACTTCCTAAAAGTCTATTTCCTTCGCCAGATTAGGGAAGTTCTCCTTCATTACTTTTTCAAATAAGTTTTCCATTTCTTGCTCTTTCTCTTCTTCTGGCACCCCTATGATCAGATGTTGGAATGTTTAAAGTTGTCCTGGAGGTTCCTAAGCCTCTTCTCATTTTTGTTGAATTCTTGTTTCTTCATTCTTTTCTGGTTGAATGTTTTTTTCTTCCTTCTGGTCCACACCATTGATTTGAGTCCTGGTTTTCTTCCCATCACTGTTGGTTCCCTGTACATTTTCTTTTATTTTACTTAGCATAGCCTTCATATTTTTGCCTAATTTGCAACCATATTCAACCAATTCTGTGAGCATCCTGATTACCAGTGTTTTGAACTGTGCATCTGATAGGTTGACTATCTCTTTGTCATTTAGTTGTATTTTTTCTGGAGTTTTGATCTGTTCTTTCATTTGGGCCATTTTTTTTTAGTCTGGGTACACCTGTTATGTAGTAAGGGGCGGAGTCTTAGGTGTTCACCAGAGCAAGGCAACACCTAAGGCTGTATATGGGGAGGGGTCCAAGGGGGAACAATGCTGCTTGCTAGGTTCTGGGCCAGCTTTAAGTCACTTCCCCTGCTACCCACAAACAAATTGGGCCCTTCTGTTGCTGATTTCAGAATAGGTGGGTTTGTGTACATTCTAGGACCCCGTGGGTCTCTCCAACAAACTCTCCTGTGAGGCTGGAAGTCTCTCCTGCTGCCACAACCCCCACAAGTTTTTGGAGTCAGAGGTTTTGAGGCTTTATTTCCCCACACTGTGACCCTAGGTTGCATGGTCTATGTTGCTTTCCAGTTGTTCCTCCCAGTTTATCTGCACATGAATGTGGGACAGCCTGGTCTGCCAGCCACTGCCTTGCTATGAGTCCTCTCTGCCCCAGCTGCCTGACACCACCCCTCCTGCCAGTCTGGATGAGTGTTCCTTCTTTACCTTTTTGGCTGTCAGACTTCCATACAGTTTGATTTTCTGGCAGTTCTGGTTGTTCTTTGTTTTTGAATTTGTTGTCCTTCTTTTGGTTGCACAAGAAAGCACAGCGTGTCTACCTACGCCTCCATGTTGGCTGGAAGTCCAGGAAGTAAGATTTTGAAAGTGACATCTATAGTGTGAGTTAAGATTACATGATTCTGTTTGAGAGAGTGACTCATAGCTCAATTTCTGGAAAATCACTTTCCCTCCCTGTGCCTCAGATTCTTATTCTGTTATGTGAAAAGAATAGTTTTAATCTGCCTTTTGAATATGATACTTTAAAATCATATTTACATAATTCTACCATCCAAAGGTGTGGAGATCATGGGACAAATTTAATGTGAGACATAACCATCTTTTTTCAGTGTAAAACAGAAAGTAAACTTGAAGTTCACTTATTAAATAATAGCAGGTATCCAATGTAATGACAGGCAACTTTTTTGGAAAAGAATGGTGAGAAAAATACCTCACCATTCTCTCACCCAGATACCGGGTTAGAGAAGATAGACAGGCTTCCTGCCTGGACTTGGTGGATCTAGAGCCCCCACCATGTAATTTTTTATGTTATATCAAAATGCCGATTATAATAAAAAATCTCTATAGTTGCATTAAAAGATGGGAGTTCAAATGTTTATTTCAGGATCTTGTCCCCAAAAGCTATAATGTCATACTCTGTAAAAGAATTTAGAAGAAAACATTAAAAGTTGGATGTTTGGAAAGAATTGTGAGTTTCCCTCCTGCCTGAACAAATAGTAATTGAAACAGTTTCTAAAGTTCATACTACTTCTATTTGCTTAAATTGATCTTGCAGCTTAAATAACAAAAGGAATGGTGAATATATAATTGTAAGTCAGCCTATTCAAATGCAACCCAAACTCATTAAGTTAGCATCAGAGATTTTCTTATACACACTTTAGGGTACTGTACCCTTCAATCATGCAAAAGAACAGAGGTGGCATTAGAGTGATTTTAAAACTAATCTCAGCCTGAACTTATCTTCTTTCCAACCACATGTAAAGTATCTAAGCAATAAACAGAATAAGGATTTTAAATAATTTTTAAGGAAACGTTTTTTGAATTAGCTGTAGATCTGCAGTCTGTTGTCTGACTTCTGTTTTATTGTGTTAACATCTCAGGAATAGCTTACTTGACTCTACTCAGTTAGGAATCTATCCTTGAGTGGTAAACCCTTTCCTAAGGTCATGGTTAGAAGAGGCAAGTTTTCTATCTATGACATACCACTTTCATATTTTGCTGATCCCTTGTTATTTTGATAATTAGAATGGGATTATTGTTTTGAACCTAACTGGAGGTTGTGTTTTGAGAATCCACATGGATAATTTTGTCATGGAAAAGTCAATGTAACAGAAAGCACTTATGATGAGACATCTCATTGGGCAGAACTAGTTCTCCTTTGCATTGTGAAATGGGTACCCCACTCCCAGATGCACTAAATCTATTTTTGCCTTATTTATATCTATCTACCCATGGCTAAGAATTTCTCAGAATGGAAAATCATACAAAGGTCTACTGGTTCATTAATACTTATAAACAAAATAATTCAATTGCTGTACAGTATGTTAGTCTAGTCCATACATGTTTCAAACTGGTGCTGGTTGCAATAATTTGAATCTATGGAAAATTCTTTTTATACTTTAAAACAGCTTTTAGGTGCTTGGCAAAGTTTGCTAAACTATTTATCACGATCAAGAATATAGGCAAGTCAGGAGTGAACTCCATATTTATTGTACTGATTTTCACCTAATCATGGAATAAAGGAAAGGAGGTAATCAAATCAACAGAAAATTTCAGATCAGTAACCTACCAGCTGGATAGTTGAAGCAGATTGGCCTTTGCCTGACTGGTCAGAATTGAGTGCAAGATGATGGGAATGTCCCATGTGCCTATTAACCAGTGGCATGCCCTGCTGGATGAAGATGGTTTAAAATTAGTGCTGAAGAACAGAAGAACACAAATGCAGCCTTTGTCAAGTCCATGGTTCTATTTAACATTTCTCTCATTGGCCAAAGTCATGGGTGGCAGAACAAGAGTAATGGGAGACTCTCACTGTGAGGAGTACTTACTAAAATGCCTCCCCTCGGAGAAGCAAGGACTGCTCTGAATGGGCGTGCACGCTCAGAATGCTTCGAACATGCAACTGCAAGAATTATAAAAGACTCAAACGGTGGTGGTCTTTATAATGCCTTTTTTATTTACTACAAAATTAAATTTGATTTTTTTCTGGTAGAGATACCAAAAGGATTATAACTGAAACTATATTGCAGCCTAAAACCACTAAATTAAAATCTCCAGAAAGGTATTAATCAATTAAAGCACTTGGAACTTCTAAAATATCTACCTTCCTTTCATATTACTCAATATCATGAATCTTGAAATGATGTTCTTAAACTCATTTTAAGTTTTTTGGCAAATACAAGGGCAATCTAAATAAACTCCACATTTTGGATGTTCAGAATTTATTTTACTCATTTCCATCCTGGTTAAATTTCTCATGATTACACATAGGGTAATATGTTGGCTTTGTAATGTAGTTTTTTCAGTCCAGGAATGCTAATCTATTGTGTTTCAATGGTGATCTATTATTGTTTTTTCATGCTGATTGATTAAGAACCCCTTTTCTGGAGATTAATGTCCTAAATTTCTCTAGTAGGTGAAGACATTGAAGCTTGAATTTTCAATTTTGAGTTACTATAGCATTCTAGTTTGGGCCCTAGGCTCAAAAAACGACCCTGCTTCATAAAAACAGAAATTATTTCACAGGATTTTGTTTAAAATCTATTTATTATGAAGATTTTCAAATACACAGAAAAGTTGAAAGAACTATAATGTAAACATCAGATACCCACCTCCTGGTCCTACCAGTGACGTTTTGCTGTATCTATTTTTATCTCACATCTAGCCATCTAGCCACTCTCTACCCACCCACAAAACCACCTATTTTTGATGCATAAAATAGAATTTTCTAATAAACTTGGGAATGCTCATATAGAAGTACTGACCTTTTAAAAGACTACTAGTTTTACCTGAGTGCAGTCAAGAATAAGTAAAAAACAATAGAGGACTGCAGAGCCTCAGGACTTTGTAACAAAGAAAACTTGCTTTATTGAGTTTTTCATAAGTGTTTACCACTTACCTTTTTAACCATCCCACCAAACAGTTTAACTATTTTTCTCTTTACATTTCATCGTAGATGTAGGAACTGATCAAATATAGGCCCGAATAAAAGCAATGATTCAAGCTAAATATATTAAAAATGCCATACCTGAGCATTTTTAAAATATTTTAAATGCCCTTAAGATAGAAAATAAAGTGTAATTTTGCGAATTTTCAGAATATTTGTTTGTTTGTTTTTGGCTAGGAAAGAAACTCAGAACACTGCTTGATAGCTAGTCCTATAGTCCCCTTTATTATCAGGCGGGAGACAGTCTGCGGTTTCTAAGCTAGCCGTGAAGGTCAAACAGCAGACTGTAACTAGTACATCAACAGGCCAGCAACAGATGTTTAAAAGATTAATAAGCAGACTTACAGGGAAGCTGCCAGTCAGAATGACTTGTGTATTCTGGAAATCAGGGCCTCATCCCTTACACAGACAACTTCATGAAGAAGTCAGTTACTTTTGAACAAGTACTTCTGCAATAAAAGGCAAATATCATGAGGCCCTAACGCAAAGGATAAATAAAACTTAAGATATACCTCGACACGTGGTGACACAAAAAGAATAAAACATTTTTCTATGAAGAAAAATCCATGGATGCCTCCAATTAGTCCCAAGAGTTTCCAAATGTGACCTTTGCTTTCATGGACATGTCCAGACGCTGAGGCTTCCTGCTTATCTAAACCAAGAACCTAAAAAATGAAAAGGTGAGAGCAAGGGACATAAAGAAGTAACTTGATGACTTAAACACTAATTAGGAGGTCTGATATTAAATATACCCAACTCCATGACAACTTCTGAAATCATTCAAAGCCCAGTTTGCTTTTAGATATATAAATACTTCCGCTGTAGGATTTAATTGTGGACAAATAAAATGGATACAAGAGAAGAGAAGGTGGCTTCTGCTTGTGAACAGATTAAAGCCTAAGCTTATTTCAGCAAGTGGACTAAATTTTCATGCATTCTCAGTCCTTTAGCTGAATTTTTTTAGGAGTTCAAAAGTATCTGTTTATACAACAGTGCCTTATAGCAAGCTAATGTATTTTATATCCAGAACAAATATAAAGATAGATTTCATCTGGGCTTTGTTCTCCCCGTGCCCAACTGCAATTAAAGAATACTTTTAATAAATGTTCATAGTAGTAAGAAATCTACCATAAAGACATTTTTTACTGAGTGCATACTCTATGCCTAGCAATAATTCAGCAACCTGGGACAGAATAGGATATAAGAAAAGCATTAGGAATTTTTCTCTAGTTGACTCATCCCTTTGGTTGACTCATTCCATTGGTTGACCTCATGATTTCCTGTGAGCTAGTAAATCATTATGTATCATATTCCTTCCCCAGGAGAAGGCAGTTTAAGAAACTAGTTTAAGGAAATAGCTCAGTGGTTTCCACATTTTGGATGTTACTGACCATTAAAAAGAGGGAAAAAATATATGTATACATATTGCTTGTATACATGTTCATAGATACGTATATAGATATTTATGTGTGTGAACATATATTCATACATGAGTGAGTATATACACTGATTTTATGGACATAACTAAAAACTGACATATGGTAGTCAACTTTTTCATTTGGTAAAGGCATTAAAGGACACCCACCTAGTATCTGTAATTATCATTATTTCACAGTACAGAGAACATTGTAATATCACAAAACAGGGGAAAAACCCACAATCTTGAACTAAAATGCAGACCTCTAAGTTGAATAAATTTAGCTACTAAAAAAGGAAATAAAGACAGTGGCATTTTTCTCATTTCCCTGCAGCCCTTTGAACACTTGTCATGTGTCAGGACCGCCGGTTTTTCCAGCTTTCCACCTCCCTCGCATCGCATCTTCCTCTTCCCAGTAATGTCTGTCCTCTTTTTCCTCAAGTGAAAACAACTGCCTTCAAAATTTCATGAAACCTAGCTAATCTTTTTAAGTTCTCCCCTGTGGCATATCTCTGCAAAGTCCGTTGACAGTCCCACCTGCCCCAAATCCTTGCCCGCTGCCTGGAGCTATGCCATCCCCAACCAGGGGAGGCCCGGGGAGCCTTGAGATTCTTTTGCTGTTTCCCAGGATCCTGGGAGTGAATGGCTCTGCAGCCTCTGCAGTGACCTAGAAAAGGCCTCAGCCACCGCCTCAAGCCAATAAGCCTTGAAATATTTCCAGAAAATTAGATTACAGGGGGAATTAAAACTAATAATGGTTTGTTTCATTTCTCCAATGCTCACTTTGCAATTTTCAGAACATCTAACAATTATTGAGCCTCTAAGCAACAAGAGTGACCCTGTAGGAAATTTCCAGAGGCGTGTGGAAAATTTCCATAGCCACGGGAACCGTAGGACTGTAGGTAATAAACCACTTCTAGAGCAGTGATTGTCCACCTTGTCGCCTCACAGAACACTTAAACTAATTACTAAAATTCTGTGGCATGCCAGAAATTTTATTTTTTGGCAATCTGACAAAAAAATAGGCAAATTTTAATTCATTCACACCAGACAACTCTTGTTGTGTTGGCTGTCATCATTTTTAATTTGACAGTCTAAGGGCAGAGGTCAGTGCCCCTGACTACATAGTCAGGCATTGCATGTTTTCAAATTTCTCGTGGCACACCGGTTGAAAATCACTGCTCTAGAGGAAGTACCAGAGCCAGGAGGGGACAGGAGGAAGCAACCCTGCCACTCTCTCCGCCTACCCCGACTTTTCTGTTGTGCCTCACATTGGCTGGCTCTGGCAACCACCCAGCCTGCCGGGGGGAGGGGGGTGTTGCTGAAGACCTGCAATCTCCTGGGCCACAGAAGACAGCGAAGAAGGGCGGAGAGCAAAATGGGTGAGTTGGGGGAGCACTGGAGAAAAAACATTGCCATGTCTGATGGCCATTCACTTTTATTTACAGGAAATTTGTAACTGCTTCCTGGATGTTTCTTAGTAGGAATTTATATCTGATCACCTTTTTTTAAAAGTTCTCAAAAATAAGAATAACATGTGGTGAATATAACGACTGGTCATCTCCTTTCTCCCACAAGTGCTTTGGGGAAATAATATTCATTTCCAAGGGAAACACTGGCCTCCATAGCTACTCATCCAAGTTGCTGTGAAATTTTGCATAAACACCTCCACTGGCTAAACATAAAGGACACTGGAAACACTCCATCTAAATCGGAAACAAAGCAGCTTACCTGAGGGATCAGGTGGAGCAGAGCGTCCCCAGAGAGGGTCCCAACAGCCAGGCCCACAAACAGCTGTAAAATGAGCCTGTAGCTCTCCTCACAGCTGTGGAACAGGAGCAGCGTGGTCCCCAGCAGGGAGCCCAGCGTGAGCAGCATCACGGCCACTGTGCTGTAGCCATATTCTGAGTCGGAAGGAGATCGCGGAGACAGTCAGTGCCCGTGACCCTCTGCGAGCGCCTGAGCTAGTGAAACTGATGGAATAGTGTGTCCTATAGCACAGCTGGTAGGGACATGAACTTGTTGTATGTGGTCTACTGGGTAAAGGTTTTAGCTTTTATGAAAAGAATGAAAAGATTTTTACCAAAATATCTTTAAAGTTACCCTGATGACCTCTTATTTAAAAATGGTTGTGGCAAGCAAGGACCTCACTTACCTCCCGCCTGCGAGAAATTAATTTCTTTCATCGTAAACTACCACGTGTGTGGACAGATACTGGTAATGATTTCCATCCAATCACATGGACGCCTTTCGATAGCCAGGCAGCGGCGCTACAGTGGGAACATTCAGTCTGGGCCCACGTAAACCTTTGTTTGTGTTCAAAATGAGTACTCTCTTCCAGAAGTTCTCAAAATTATTTGTAATGTTTGAAGTGTTTATTATTCTCAATGACCAAAATAAGTGATTGTGTTGGTAAAAACTGATCAATGAATGTGTAATGGTTCACAACAAATTTGGACAGCCTACCTTTGGATTTATTGCAATGATATGTTATAATGTCTGCATTTATTCAATGTTCCTAGCTTCTAGATTTAAAAAAATTAAGAAAGTACAATGCTTTAAATTATTCAAACAAAAATATGTATGAGGGGAGAACAAATAAAACGGGAAAAGAAGAAGAAAGGTTAACAGAGAGAAAAATGGCTCTCAGAGTCAAAAGTAAATGACTGGAAGATAAAGAGTTATTCAAGCCCCCATTTTCTTTTGGCTGCAGACATTCAGGGCAAATACTCTTGTTTCTTCTTATTTAGAAATTATTAACAAGTCATGGCAAAATGGTTTATAAACAATACAGTAATTACAAAATTAAACTATCATTTCCTTGAGTGACTACATACAGATAATAAGTTAAATCAAATAATGTAGTTATACTATTTGAAGTTCATTGTAGACTTTAAGAAACTATCATCTTAAAGTTAGTGATAATGGAAAATAATCTATTCTCACTATTTTCTACTTTTCTGGGACATTCACCTTCTATATTAAATCATATTAATGATTCTAGCTGATAACATGGTAATAGACTTGTGATTTTAAGATGACCTCTATGTTTTTAATTTTTAAAATGCATTGATGAGAGAGAGAGAGGGACGTAGGGAGAGAAACATCAATTAGTAGTTCCACTTATTCTCCGTTCATTGGGTGATTCATGTATGGACCCTGACTGGGGATTGAACCTGAAGCCTTGGAGAATCAGGACAATACTCTAACCAACTGATTTACCAGGCCAGGGCTAAGATGACCTTTACTAAATTATAAGTTCTAGATTATATAAGAGTCTAATATTAAAATAGAGTTGGTGATGTATTCAGAGAAAACTTTCAGACTGTGGTTTTCCCACTCTCATCACTCTCCTTCCACAGACAGAAATCCACTGTGTAGAGGTTGTTATCCAACAGATACAGGGTTGCAGTTTTGCAAGATGAAAACATTCTAAAAATCTGTTGCACAACAATATGAAATACTTAATACTACTGAACTATAGATCCTACATTTCCTAATAATTAAGATGATTAATTCCATGTGTTTTTTAACCATAATTAAAGTTTAAAAAAATAAAGTGGCTTGGAATGGTCATACACCAGCCTAGAAGTTTTATCCTGTCATCATTTAGTAAAAATGCCTGTTATTTTAAAAATCCGTAGAGATATTTAGCAAGTATCATATCCCATTCTTCCACATGTAGATTCTCTGTGGGAGCATCATTCCTCTCATGTAATAAATAAAGACATCTGAAGTTTAATATGAGCACCTGGGTGCCAGATATAGTTCAAAGGTGCCACATTTTAGAGAAGCTACAAAAGATCATAAAATGCCAAGAATGTACAGGAACAAATTAGAGTCTGACATTTCCAAGGCAAAAGGCAAAGTCTCGGGTTCTGTGATTCTTCCTTTCTTCTCCCCTTTGTCCTGAGGGCAGCTACAGTGTGGGACTGGAGGAGAATGAACGTTTCCAATTTGGAGCTTATAGATGACTTTAGGGCCTCTGCAAGTCACAGTTCACCTGCTCCCATATGGCAAGGGCAGCCTGAAAACCATAAAATCTCTGACTTTTGTGGCCATCATACTCTGCTAACTTAGCTCATCTTAATTGGACTCAGGTGACTTGCAGACAGGTGCTATGTAAATCTTTCTCATCATTACAGTAGAACTTAACGTAAGAATTAAATTCCTAGCCACTCCTGAGCAGCTACTTTGCATAGGTCTGAAACTCAATTTATACATAGTCAAAACACTCTTTCCTAGAAACAATTGGAAGTGATGCGTACAGATTGAGTTTTACCACACTGAACAATGTTTTCTTAATAACGGCTCCCTGTGTCCTCTCCTCTTCATCTTACATTTCCATAAAAAGGCCACTACAAGCCTTTCCCTTTAGTTACATAGTGCAACATTTTAAATTGAGGACAGTAATGTTTTTCTAGGTTCTTTAGTGAGTGGTTTGTTTGAATTTTTTCTTAGGAAGACTATTCCGTAGAAGGATCTAGAAGGTCATTAGAAAGCTAAAAACTTTTTCACGGATCTTCAGTTTATAAACCCACTCCCTGGTGGCCCGTAGGCACCAGACACCGTGCCACATGGTGGGAGCACAAACATGTTCATGGAAGCTCCTCGGTGCCGTGGTCTGTCTGCCTCATCTGTCTGTGAGTCATCACTGACCACCAGGTGCTGAATTATTTAGCTGCTCACTTTTAATAGAGCTTCGTTCTTCTCAGTAAATGTGGAATTATGGATATTTCAGCCTGGTATGTTTTTCTTCACCTAAAAATCTTCAAATTGAGTCTCTTGATGCTGCAGAATCCACCGAGTTAGAAGTGAGTAGCCAAACAATTCAGCTATTATGGACACTGCAGACTATCTCAGAGAGAAAGAAAGGTAGCATATATATATATATGATTAATGGTGTATATATATGGTTAATGGTAATATCTCAAAGATTGCATGTATTAACTGTCAAATATTTCTATCCATCACAGATGCTCTTATGTAATCTTTTTTCTTTTAAATACACAGTGCTTTAAATTACAAAGCAGTTTTGTACATATTATCACATTTGGACCTTACAGCAGAGCTCACCCACCGCACTGGTCCAGTGGGATGCAGGTGAGTGCACGTCCAGGGGTGCCAGCCAGGTAGGGCAGGCTGCTACCTGCCTGCACTGGTCACGGCCATTCTAGAGCAGCCTCTCGAGTTTACCCCAGTGTGCTTTCATTTTTTTTTACCTGTGCCATGATGTGTGAAAGGCCTGTAGGACACACTGCTTTCCCACTGTGCAGAACAAGAGATGGGCTCAGGAAAATAGAAATTGCTGAAGGTCACAGAGTTGGCTGGGGATAGAAGCCATCACTCAACTTCTGATTCCAACACTGCGTCCGTTCTCTCCCTCTAACTAGCCACTTCCCAACTATGTACTTTTAAGTTAGTCTATAACTGAGTCCCATAAAAGGGACAAAATCAGTTTATATATTCATAAATTGTATGCAAAATATAAATAGTCATTGAAAGCTAGCATAGCAGACTGGTTAAAAACAATGGCTCTGGGGCCAGCTTGCCTGGGTTTGAATCACAACTCCATCACTAACTAGAGGTGTGTCCTTGGCAAGTCACTTAACCTCTTATGTGCCTTAGTTCCCTCATCTGTAAAATGGGGATAATATCTAGCTCATAACATCGTGAGAATAAAATGAGCTGATAAGTGTAAGTTGCTTAGAACAGTGCCTGGTTTATAATAAGTACTCTGTGTTCATGGTTATGATTACATACATTAGGTGTATCCACTTTGTCAGGGAAAAATCAGAACTTACTCTCTAGAGTGGTGGGCAGCAGGTTCTCTTGTTGGTCCTTGGGCAGCTGGCAAGAGCAGCTGAGCAATTGTTGGATGATTCCTGGACTCATTTGTTTAAAGTCCTCCTTAGAAATAGGTGAGAGGCTGTTCTGTAGAAATATTTCCACCAGTTGCCCAGCAGAGAAGCAAGTCTGTATGGGAAAACCCTGCATTATTACTAACCTCAGCACACAAACTCACTGTCATTGCCATTCTTGCTAAAATGAACACATGAAACCATATCATTTAGCACTTACATACCAGCTAGTTGACATAGCATTTGTCAATTGACAGCTCCTCTCCACAAAAACAATTGAAATAATTGCTTTTGCCTATTGATATTTACCTAAATCTTTGCAATTTTTTATTGTATAGGTATATGTATAAGAGTGAAGGGTTATAAATTAATAGTATATGCAACAGTTCTCTAAAAATTGCCACAAGGCATTTGTCTATGTTAGAAGTGTAAAGGGCTGATTTTGTCTATTAAAAATTACATTAAAAAGGCCTAATATATGGATGAGAATGGTACATACTTCCACTAGCACGAATGTATGTCTTCTATTGAAGTAAGACCTCAATATAACATCCTTGTGATCTTTAGTTACAATCAATAAGCAATTTTTTTTAAATCAATGATTTAAAAGGCTTGTCTTTTTGAAGCTGACTGTCTTCCCTTCTGCATTTATCTATTACCTTTCACGGTCTGGCTTTCTCTCTTTTAGAAAACACGTGGACATATAAGCCCGAACTGTGACGTGAACTTTCAGTCCACATATGCAAGACTGAGTTGATTCTGCAAGTCCTAATAGAGCTCTAATTGTTCAGCAAAGCCACAGACAGACAGGCTCTCTTGGGTCAGATGTCCATCTGATTGGTTTTGCCAACAGGATAGGGGGTGGGGTCATGCTGCTCAAACATGGTTTCAGCCTCACTCTGGCAGGTGAGGAAGGCGTTTCTCAGCAAGGAAATGGGCAAGGAACCCAAAGGTTGTCTACTACAAAAAGCAACAACAGAAAACTTCAACTTATGATTTTTTTATCAAATGGAAAATCACCAGAGACTATTCTCTTTTGCATCATTTGTTACTAGTGGAACAAAATTATTTATCATTAAAAATACTGACAACAATAAGAGAAACTAGCAATGAACTTTTGATGGTGAGCCCTCCATAATAAGCATTCTTATTGGAAAACGTCTGATGGTAAGTGAGTGGAGAGATAAATGTGGACAGAATGCCATGCATTTTCCCCCAGTTCATTGCCAAGAAATTGAAGAGTTCTACTTTTAGAATACCTTCTCTATAGCAAGATTACTCTAGTATGAATTATGAACATCTGTGCCCTTGATCTTCACTTTCTGCTTCTGTGGTATTTAGGTCATTGTTTTATATTTCATCTGAAATCACTAATACAAATGTCCTTAAAGTTGATGCATTATGTTCTATAACTTTTAAAAATACAATATATTTTAATAAAAAAGAATATCTAGATTACCCAGATAATAAACTTTACAATTTATTTATTCCTTTATGTAAAAATTCAATACAAAGTCTGATGTTGATATCATCAGACTTCTATGGTAACTTTACAAACACAATCCAAAGCAGTGGTTCCTGAACTTTAGCTTTGAGAGTCTCTTGGAGGGCTTATTAAAAGAGAGAGTACTGGGCTCTACTCCCAGAGTTTATAATTCAGCAGATCCTGGGGCAGGGCCTGAGAACTGGCATTTCTAACACATTGCCGGGTGATGCTGAGGCTGCTGGTGCAGGGACAACACCTTGAGAACCACTGGTCTGAACAACATAGGAAGGATCCTCAGATCTAGTCTGTTCTCTTAGGGTCTCATCAACAGTCACAAGGAAACTGATATGTTCACACAGAGAAGAGGTTGTTTTCTTTATTTTGCATAGTCAGCACAGACAATAGTTACTACCATTTATAGAAGATATATGGCTTAAGTAGATAATCCTTAAATAAAAAGAAAAATAACCTTGTCCCTGAAGAAGTTCTTAAAGAGACTTCACAAACAAGGATTAAAAAAGACATCCACTTTTGTCACTTTTAGCTGCATACAATAAGCAACAAAAGAATCAATTTAAATAGATATCTTTTAACAGGAAAGCAAAGCAACAACAGAAATTGATTTTAACAGTATATGATAATAAAAACGTGATGCTGTCCAGTCATGGATTCATAACCCACGGGAACAGCAATCAGCAGCGTTGGCAGCATGTGAGGAATTTTGTTCTTTAATGATACAGATTGTGCTCCATACGAAAGTGCTCATCTGGGCTCTACTTTAAATTAATTTTTTATTAATTTAAATAACCTTTTATTAAACAATAGTATAATTGTTAAGGGCACTGAACAGGCCAGCAGGTGATAATACCCTCAGTTTCTGTGAACTTAAGCAGTTATTTATTAGCCCCATGCCTCCATGCCATCATCTCTAAAATGAAATAATATAAAGTAACCTCACACAGTTGTAATGATTAAATGAGGCAATGCAGGTGAAATAGCACAGTGTCTAACACATAGTAAGTACTCAATAAATGTAAGCCATCACCATTGAACATCAGTTTCTCACAATTTTAAACTATTAGGGCAGGGAAGGATTCGATGGTCAAAGTTTGAGAAACATTTGATTCAATGAGAATAAAGAAATTTATTTACTGAAGGACCTCCCAAGACAGTACAATGTGTTTCTCCAGTATCTCCCAAACTGACTTGACCATAGCACCCATTTTCAAGAAGCATCGAGGTACACTAGTGAACGTACTTTGGAATACATCTTTAAGAAATGTGGATATGTTTACAAGATCATATATCACCTCATCTCAAAAGCCATTTCAGTGCTATCTACTATAGGAATATTTCTTTGTGGCTCATAGCCTAAAGTAATCTCTTTTTGTGAGCTAACCTAAATTAATATAATCTAAGTTTAAAGTACTCATTCATTGTTGTGTTTATGTAATGTCTATGCCCTCCCACTACCCTGTGAGCTCCATAGGAACCGCACTTATTTCTGATCTATACCATACTACCCATGCCCACAACAGTGACTGGCACATAGTAAAGGCTTAATATATGTACACTCAATTAATTATTCATGCATTCAGTATAGACCCAAGGGAGGAAAGAGTAATGTATATTATTCTCCTAAATATCTTAGTCTGTTTGTGTTTATGTTTATGTTTATATTTATGTTTATAGAGATCCACTTGTAGAAAGAGAAAAAACACAACCACTCTGTGAACATAGAATATGTCTACATTTAAGGAAAATACACATTATCCTTTAAATTTTCTACAACTCTTACAGAACTTTCACAGTTGAACTCCTTTTGACAGTAGTAAATAGTGGTATGAGAGGAAGAATGGCGATACCTGATCCCAGGGAACTGGACCACCATCCAACTCATGGCCCACAGGTACAGATATATTAGGGTAACTCCAACCATGAACCGTCATATTGTTTTGTTTCCATTGCAGTTGATGGACTTTAGCTTTTCTGATACAGGTATTTCTGGTCCAGAGAGTGTTGAGGAGTTGGTCTAGTTCTAGAAATTTCATACAAAGATTGGTGTTAAATGGAATAAAAACAGGTCAGTTTCAGAATAATCACAATTTCACATTGCCACAGCATAGATACTTTATTAAGTAAATATGGTTATGATGAAAAAAGTTTTATACTGAACAATAATAAATAACATTTATATTTTACAAAGTTATTGATTTTCTCAAGCTCTTGGTGAAGCTTTGGGGCTGAGCCAGTTTTATGAAGATGCTCCCACCACATTTATTTCCTGGAGAAGATGAATAGGCAATTCCACCAACGGAGAGCCTTCCATTGGGCCAATTACCTAATTCTTTTTTCTAGGTGGAGTTCCTTATGAAAAGCCAAAGGTGAAACTGGCCTAACCCTTAGAGGACGTATTCTCCTGAGACACTACACATCTTTAATACATTAACTAAAATTTTAATGTAGTTACGTCAGTCAAATTCTCTTTCTCTGAAGTATTTATGCAGAAAAAACATGAAAAAATGTTGGAATTAGACACAAATTGACATTGTTTTCTAATGCTACTGTGGTATGATTGTTAGTTCATGGACTGAAGTTAAGTTTCCCTTGGTACAGCTGTCAGTTTTTACACACTGATACAGAGAATAAGCCATTCAGTATTACATATAATGGTGAATTTATCCATCTTCTTACCTTCTTTCCTAAGTGTTACCATCAGTGGTAGGAAACATTACAAACTAGTGTTACTACAATATTTTATTTTTTAAAGATTTTATTTATTTGTTTTTAGAGGAAGGGGAAGAGAGGGAGAGAAAGATTGGCGTGTGAGAGAAACATCAGTCAGCTGCCTAGCACATGCATCCTAACCAGGATGGGCCCGCAACCGGGCATGTGCCTTCACCAGGAATCAACCCAGTGACCTTGTTTGCTTTGCAGGATGATGCCCAACCAACTAAGCCATGCTGGCCAGGGGTACAATATTTTATTTTAAATGGCCAGTTTTCAACAAACAATTATGAGACATGGAAAGAAATGGGAAAGTTTGACCCGCAGTCAGGGGATAAAAACAGTCAAAAAATAGGTCTCTGAGTATTTCTAGACATTTAATTTAGCAAAAACTCAAAACATCTATTATAAGCATGTTCAAGGAACTAAAGGAAATTATATTTAAAGAATTAAGTAAAATATGACAATAATAAATTAACAAATAGCAAATTTCGATAAGGAAGTAAAAATTATGTAAAAATCCAAATGGAAATTCTGGAGTTGATGAATACAATAATTGAAACCAAAAATTCACTGCAGTAGATTACAGTATATTTGAGAAGGTAGAAAAAAGAGTAATTGTACATAAAGAAAAATTAATTGAAGTAAATTAATCTGAAGACCAGAGGAAAAAAGAGATTTTTTTTAAAAGAAAAAGTCTTAGAGACCTGTGGGACAATAGCAAATACACACACACACACACACGCACACACACATATATATATCCATAAGAGAAAAAAGAAAGAGGAGTAGAAAAATATTGGAGGAAATAAGGACAAAGCTTTCCAAATCTGATGTAAAACCTTCATTCACATGTTCAAAAGATTCATCAGACAGCAAATAGGAGATTTACAGAAAGACCCCACACGCATTGCAATCAAACTTTTGAGAGTCAAAGACAAAGATAAATCTAGAAAGTGGCAACAAACAAACAAAAATGATCCATCAGATACATAGAAGCATCAATAAATTGATAGCTGACTTTCCATCCAAACAATGGAGTACAGAATGAAGTAGGCTCATATTCACATTGCTGGAAGAAAATACTGTCAATCAATAATTTTACATCCAGCAGAACAATACTTCAAAAACAAAGGTGAAATGCAATCATTTCAATGATTTTATTTAAATTATCGAAAAATTAATGGGAGAATTCATAGCAGGACTGCTTTACAATAAACACTGAGTGAATTAATAAACACTTTTGGGTAAAAAGAAATGACCTAAAGTGGCAAACTGAGTTCATAGAAAGAAATGAAGAGCACTGGAAATGTAAATATATGGGTTAATATAAATGATAATTTATTTTCTCATTTGTTTTCTAAACTCAGTGAGAAAACACTACAGGCTTTTCTTTTAAAGTCAGAAATATGATAGGGATTCAAACCATCTCCAGTACTATTTATCATTATACTGGGATTATTAACAAATGTAATTACATTAGAAATCAAACAGAGACAAAGTAATTGAAAATAAAAAGGTATCCTGGCCAGACAGTTCAGTTGGTTAGAACATTGTCCCCATATACGAAGGTTGTCTGGTCAAGGTGCATATAAGAAGCAACCAATGAGTAGATAAATAAGTGAAATGACAAATTAATTTCTCTCTTTCTCTCTCCCTCTCCCTTCTCTCTCTCTCTCAAATCAATAAATAAAATTTTTAAAAAGAAAATGAACAGGCAAAATTACATTTATTTGAAGATGACATAATTATATATCTGACAACCCTACAAAATTGTAAAAATTAAATAAAAGATTTAATTATGGAGGCTGTTATAAAATTTAAGCATAACAAAAACCAGTTAGAAGATGTAATGAAAGAAATGACCCCATTTAAGGAGCCAAAGAGAAAGTTAAATGCCTAGGTATAAATGTAGCAAAAAATTCCTAAAACTAAAGTGGGGAAAATAATAAAACACTACATAAAAACACACTTATAGACATGAATGAATGGAAAGACATACTATGTTCTTGGATTAAACAATGTAACATCTTATAAATGTCAGTTCTCCCTATTTTATAATTTTTTTCTACAACAAGTTTTTTCCCATAGCTTGAGAGTTTTATGATTTTTGTTAGGAAAAACACAAAGCCAGGAACATCTTGAAAAGAAGAACAATGAAAATAGCTAGCTATACCAGACATTAAAATTAAAAAAACACTGTAAGTAAAACAGAGTGGAATTACCATGTGAATAAAGTGGAACAACAGAACAAAATAGGAAACAAATAAACCTGATTGCATTTATTACTGCATTATATAAAATGGAATCTCAAATCTGTGGAGGAAATAATTTTCACTAAATATAAAATGGGATGTATAAGGAGAACTGGATGGTCACATAACAAAAACAACCTGGATCTGTTTCTTATAAAACATACCAGAATTAATCCAAAATGGATTATAAATAAGAACATATAAGTACTAAAAGAAAATATGGGTGACTTCCACTATTATCTGAGAATATAGGAAACTTTCTTAACTATAACTCAAAATCCAAAAGCAAAAAGAATAAAGTTTAACTAATTTGTTTATATGGAGGTAAAAAATATTTGCATAAACAACTGATTCTAGGTTTAGGCAGGAAGCCTGCAAGATAAACTGGAATATCTTATATTGTAATGCAACAGATATAAAATGGTTTAAGGATTTTGTTAAAAGAACTTAAGAGACAACTTGAATAAGATTTCACTGGGCAAAAAGGGAAACATTCTGAGCACCAATTAGGGTAATAATGACAAGGATTAATAGGTATAAAATCATAATATTAAAAAGTTCATTGGTCTCCTTTGAAGGACATAAGGAAACTATGTTATTATTTTGAACAATTATAACTTTAAGAACTTCGATAACATGAAATTGTGATAAATGAAACATTTCTCATTATAGAATCATTATACTAATCAATGAAGAAATGTAGTAAATAATCAATCTGGGCAATGATCATAAATATTGCATAACTTTTTTAAAAAGGGAGACAACTAATGTTACATACCTTCTGATGGATAGATAGTACTAACTATAAGACAGTACCTCCAAATAAATACACAACCTAAAATTAATCAAGCCTCTACCTCTAACAACAAATATATATGAAACAGTGTGTATAAATATGTATTAAATGACTAGAGATGCAATCAGCAAAATTCAGACTGGAAAAATAATCCTTTTTTGTAACAAAAAATGCAACAAAAGAGAAAATGTGGGCATGGTGTTAGGAAAGGGAAGTCGTAATACCTACAAAATTGAAGAGACATGCTCATAATTTGCATTTTATGCACCTTATTTAGATCCTGATTCAATAAAAAATTTTAAAAATATATCAGAAAATATCAACATTAATGGAAAATTTTATATAAGGAATCATTAATATGATATTGGTCATACAGTACTTTTTAAAAAGTCTTTTTTAGAGAGATTTATATAGAAATATTTAAGATCAATTATGTGCTTCAAAAGAATCAAGTAATGGGAGAGAGCAGAGGCAAATATAAGGTTATCCAATTGGTAGCAATTGTTGAGGCTAGATAATATGTACATGGGGGTCCATTATATTGTTGTTTCTACTTTTATGTTTAAGAACCTATAATAAAAACCTAAACACTTAAAACTGGCATTCTTCTTTTCCTCCAGCCCCCTAAATATAATCAGCTGCTGTGGAGCTGCAGCTCATAGGCAGCTGTTAGAGGACATGCTGAGTGGATCCTGGCCTGAGTAACTAATAGCACTGAGCTGGAACAGGGTTCTGAAATGAAATTGAATTCTCAAATGAAAGAATGGCTGATTTTGTGGGGTGGTGAACACACAGTACAATATTTAGATCATGTATTATAAAATTGTAAACATGAAACCTACATAATTTTACCAACCAATGTCACTCCAATAAATTTCTTTTTTTTTTAAGAAAGAAATCCTATTTGAAAAATGACAGAAAACTTCCCTAGCCTGGTGAAGAAAGTAAATATACAAGTCTAGGAAGTGCAGAGGGTCCCAAATAAGATGAACTCAAAGAAGGCCACACCACAACACATCATAACTAAAATGTAAAAGGTTAAAGACAAAGAGAGAATCTTAAAAGCAGCAAGAGACAAGCAATTAATTAGCTAAGGAGAGCTCTCCTAAGAGTCAGCTGAAACTTTACAGGACAGAAGGGAGTGGCAAGAAATATTCAAAGTGGTGAAAAGTGAGAACCTATGACCAAGATTATTCTACCCAGCACAGCTGTCATTTAGATGAAGGACATATAAAGAGCTTACCAGACAGAAAAAAAAAAAAACTAAAGGAGTTCATCACCACCAAACCAGTATTACATGAAATGTTAAAGGGTCTTATTTAAGAAGAAGAAAAAAAAGATAAAAATATGAATAACATGGCAATATATATCAATAATTAAATCTAAAAAACAAAAGAAATAAACAAGCAGAATAGAAACAGACTTGTAGATCCTGAGAACATTTTGACAGTTGCCAGATGGGAGAGGGGCTAGGGGTTTGGGTGAAAAAGGTGAAGGAATTAGAAAAAATAGCTGATTTTTGCCCAAATGGGTAATACTGAACATCTCTTATGAAAAATTATTTGGATTTTTTAACAATGATTCATGATGATTAATATCCAAACAACTGGTCTTGAACTTACAGCGCAGATTTTCTCTAACTGTATTCTGTTTTGCGATCTGATGCTTCTCCCAATTTCTTAGAGTGATAAAGCCTTCCAGTGCCATAGATCTTTATGTTACTTGCAAAGTGGAATCACTGCATGCCTTCCCCAGAAATGAAAACTATTGCTAAAATTTCTCAGCTCCTGGTTTCCATATCAAAATTATTCTCAGCATAAGATGTCTTTCTTTCCCTAGCTTCTTTCCTAGTTATACCAGCTAGCTAACATGATTTATTTGTATTTCAACTTTCATCTTAACAGACAATACAAATAAATTGTAGAAAAACACAACTGCCATTCAATTTTTTGTGCAAACAAGACTGGAGAAAGATCAACACTGAATTGTATGGCTACCAGTTCTGAATCCCTTCTTTCAGAGTTGGGAAGTATGACCAGACTATGAGGGGATTTTTGGTCCCTTGGTAAATTCATATCTCCCTTTATGTTGTGATTTCTTAAGAGGAAGTGTGTTGTTAGCAGCTCAAGCTATTATGCAACATGCCAGGATCCCTTGGTGTGCAAAGTCGGGCATTTACATGCAGATTAGGAAAATAAATTATTTCACGTTCAAAGTCTTGCCAAGAACAAAGAAATGTGCAAAACAGATATTCTGATTCTATTTCTGGCATCCCATTTTATCCTGGAGCCCCTCAAAAGCTGGCAGTCATGAATGTGGCCAAATGGGTATTTCATATTACTTTTATTTAAAATCAAATGACTTACTTTTTTGGTTACAAGCAAATTGCTACCAAGGCTCTTGGACCATTTGGCCTACTATTTCATCATTCTACACTATATTTTGTAACCCTTTGGCTCAGCACTATGTACTAAACAGGAAAATGTTCAGTTAGTACCTATGGCAGATCATTAAAAACTCTCCCTTTGGCTCTATGCCCATAATTTCAGCATCACTGCTGAAATGGGCCAAGTCCATATTTTTGCTTCAGCACCACATAATTACCATCATAGCATGGTTGCTTAAAAAGGCCATCTGAGCTGTCTTACCACATGCTAAGAGAAAATGGTTTATAAAACACACCTGAACAAATTTAGTCATCAAAAAGTGCTAGTCTTTCTCTTTGGCACAATTTATTTTGTAGGTGTGACTTGGAAGTTAAATTCATGAAAACCACCCTTACCTGATAGGTGAAGAGTATTTGTACTATTCAAGGAACTGAAAATGTATTCCGTGAAATAGTCTGGGGCAGGTAAGTCTCTTTGCCCCAGACAAACACCTTGAAGAGACAAAGCAATGATTGTTGCTGCCAACTGAGGAAGCGTATTTTCATCAGCGCCATCACTGCTTAATATGCCAGACTTTTTCTGAAGCATTTTTGTTTCCATGCACTAAAATCAGACACAGGGTAAGAAGAAAATTTTAACCTCTGAAGTTATTGGGATTAAAACATCTCCAGGATTTCCCCCCAAACAAGGAATAGTTCTTCATCAAAGAGGATTAAACTGTTTATGGGAATATGGCTACCATCATTCTCTATTCTGAGATACCTCTATTTGGAAAATACTTGCTTGTTTTATCTGCCACATCCCTTAGAGATGTGTTTTTCTCCAAGGAGTTCTCTTGCTTCAAATGCTTATACCCTTTTATTTGGTGGATTATTTCTCTCCAGCTTCGAGTACAGCCTGCAGTGATGACTTTCAAATCTACATTCCCAACCTTGCCTTCACACTGGTTCTGCTGCCTCGTATCATCACAGAGCACATTCCCATACACACTTGCCTTTAGTCTCACGCACGATGTGTGCTGGCCACAAATCAAAGCTAGCATAGTGCCTGTGTTCTTTGAACTACCATTGGATGTATGACATGGGAAATTTTCATCCATATAACAATTTTCCTCATTTAAATTATGAACATATGAAAGTTTGGGATTCTGCCTTAGATCCCAATAGTATCCCTACTCATTTATTTGAATATTGAGTGCCTACTATATGCCAGACACTGTGCTAGGTCCATTACAACACACATGTTGTATTTTCCTTCTCCTAGAACTATATGCAGCGGACACTCTTTTCACACATCTCCTGGCTGATAAAGGGCAGAGTCCCAATGTGCATTCAAATCTGACTCTACAGACTATGTTCTTGAATACTCTTCCTTGTGTATAGAAATAGGTTGAAACCCAGAATGGTGATGGGACTTCCATATCATCAGGTTCCATAGCATAGGGCTTGGGATACACAGCTAAAGCTTTAATATTATCTCTGCCATTTCTATTCGGGTGACCTTGGGCAAAATGATTATCTTTGCTAACCTTCCTATTCATTATCTGTTAAAAGGAACAATGCCACCCAACACAAAGATTATAAAGATTAGATGAGATAGGGCATGTAAAAACACATAATCAAGCTCTCGCACACAGGACACAGTCAACTAATCACAGCTGCTATTAACGTTGTTACCAGTCTAGGATACATCTGAGAGTAGGTTGGCAAGATGCAGATCGAGAATGGCCTTATATTTAGTGCTATGAAAAAAATTCCCTGAAGACTCCAGGGGAATTATATAAACAAGAGAATTATACAATAAGGTATTTCATAGAAATATCACTCTGATGGCAAACTAGTGAGTAGATGGACAGGGTAGAATTTAAGGGTAGGAAATCTGATTAAGAACTTATTGATTAATCCCAGATATTTCTTTAAGATGGTAGAGCCAGAGATGAATAAAGTACATGCGTTTGAGGAATATTAAGAAGGTAGACTAGAAGGCATGGAGGAAAATGTGAAGGACTACAAAGTCAAAAATGACTCATGTTTTTGGGTTTGACAACTATATAACAGTAATGCTATCCATTATCCCCCCAAATTTCCCTAAATACCCAATACAGCTCTGCTACTTCTCTGGGTACTGGAAATGCAATGATGGCCAAAACCAGAAGCATTTCCTACCCTGGAGCTTAAGGTTTACTATCGTTAATAAAATGATATTATAATCAAATATAAGATGACAACTATAGCAATAGCTTTGAAGGGAGGCACATGGTACAATGAGGGTAAAAACAGACAGCCATTCTATTCAGTCAGGCAGATCACAGACGGCTTCTTTAAGATTGTAATACACAGTCAGATCTGAAGGAGCTACAAGAAGGAATATTCCAGGCAAAAAGAACAGTGTGGACAAAGCTTCCAGGCAGAAGGGAGGATGGCAGATATGAAGGTCTGGAAGGAGGGAAATAGTTGGAGCAGATAGGGTGAGGGGAACATGGGGAAAGCTGAAGGTCTGTTGGCAGATAACAGCATTTGCCCCTTATCCTGATATCAACAAGAAGCCAAAGGGTGATTCTGAGGAAGGGATAGAATTAGGGGTTATATGACTGGATTTGTGTTTTGATAAATCCACTCTAGCCACACGGTGGAAAATAAAAAGATTGGAAAGAGACCCAGTGATTACTAATCATACAGGTAGAAGGCTATTACAATGGTCTAGGTAGAAGATTAGAAGGTAGTAGTGATAATAATGGAGAAAAGTCAACAGGTTAAGGAGATCTTCAAGAGGTAACAGCAGTAGGACTTGGACATGGACTGGACGTAGAAGGGAAAGAAATTTAGAAAACTAAATTTCTAGTTGAGCAATTGGCTGGATGGCGATGCTGTCCACTAACCTATGGAGCAATACAAGAGGTCTCGATCTGGCCAGGATAATTTGTGAACTTGATTTTGAATATGTTAAGCATGAAGTACAATATCCTTTTAAAAAAAGATGCTATGTAAAATACATAGGTCTGTAATCCAGAGGAGCATCTGGAATGGAGATACACTCTCATGAGTCATCAGTGTGTATAGACGCCCTAACCAAGAGACTGCATATGGAATGATAGGGGGCTGAGATAAGGCCTTTAGGAGCACTAATGCTTGAGAACTGCCCAGAGAAACTAGAGCCTGCACAGGTGAACATGGGGGGTCACAGAGAGGAAGAGAGAAAGAAAACCAGGTATGTGCAGTGTTATATAAGCCAAAATAGAAACTGTTTCAAAAGCTACTTATAAGCAACACCAAGGAAAGTAGATATTCAAGAATAAAGAGAAGTCTTAGATTTTAATATTAAGTTTCAGATGCCAGGGAGATATCCAAATGGATATTTATGCCATGTTGGTGCATATATGAGTTTATAGCTCAAAAGAAATATCTGGGCCTGCAGCAGAATTGAAAGTAATCAGTATTTGGTTGTGCATGAGGCTGTGAGAGCATATCACACCGACAGAGCAGCAGTGAGTAGAGGAAAATCAGAGGGTGAGGCCATGGAGGACACAAGATTTAAAGGATGGCAGATCAAGTGCATCCTCCAGAGAACTTGATACAGAACTGCTAGACAAATGAGAAGAAAAACCAGGAGATATGGGTTGATGGAAATAGAAGAAAATATGATGTACAAAATGACAGAAATCAATGAATAAAAGACTGTTTTATGGAGACAGGACAGAAGTGAGGGAGCACGAAGCAGAACACAGATTAAGATACAAAATCTGTGGAAATAAAGAATAAGAGAGAAGCTCAGCAACAAGAAGGAAAAAGTAGGTTCATCAAAATTGGAATCAAGAGATTATTGTGTCTGTGTTGCATTCTTGTGATATAGGACAAGGAGTGAAAAGTGCCAGTTGGGTTTTTTTCTTAAGTTTGTAATTGCTGAGCTTGGCAAGAGCATATTCATAGCTGTGGTGGCAAGCAGACTGAAAGGCTGAGTCAGTAACCAAACTTTTGATAAAATTGAAGAAGTAGGAGACGTTCCGTGGATGAAAACAAGCTGAAATAACAGATAGTATGAATCTCATCGAAGTGTGTTTTCTCACGAACATCGTAAAGAGTAACAGTCTTGAAGTGACATTGAGGAGAAAGAATTCAACCGCTGTTTCCAGCCCTAACGTCCTTAGGATGTGACCATGAGGCAGGTCCTTCCTAGAAGACGCAGAGCCAGTGGAGAACTGCACAGTTAGATCCCTGTTCATTACTATGGAAATGGCAAACCATGGAAAGAACAGAGACAGGTATGAGCATTAACAGATTGAGTCAAGAAGATAAAACAGAGTAGTTGGGCGAAAAAGAATGAAGAAATGGAGAGATGATTACACTCTGGGCTACTGGGGAAGATGGCTGGATTAGAGTACAATGGTATAAAGTTCTTTCTTTTGGTGAGCTGGTTAAAACCCACCTGGAGCAGCTATTAGTGGCTTGACCTATAGAGATTGAGTCCTGTGCAGACCAAGACCTGGAAATGCTAGTGGTGGTGGGCCTGGTCTATCAGCATCTTCTGTGATCCTACAGCCCCTAGTTGGAGAAAGCAGCAATCCTGCAATGAGGTGCCAACACACCTCCTGTAAAAGTCTGGATTAACTGACTTTCTAAAGGAATCCCAGCCCAGGTGAATAAGCTAAAGAACCCTTCATGGTAACTGCCATAGTGCTTTATGCCAGGAAATAATTGGTCTAAGGCCTAGCAAAAGTTATGACTCAATAAGTGTTCAATTCTTCTTGACTGAATAGATGAATAAAGTAGGTCTACACATAGTATATTGAACTATTTTATCCTGCTCTAGGAATGTCTAATCTCCTGGACACTTGGAAACCCAAGCATATGCAGTATGTGTTGGACAATCAGAAATCTGCATTAAATATGCACATATGACCTGCTTTTTAAGCTCTGGATTTCCCTGTCCATTTAATCTGCATCAAAAGATAGCAACAGATAGGATAACTAAAATCCTAGTGGATAATCTGAACTGATTATGTATTATATAGATATTGCAGTGAAGATATTATATGTAGGAACACCTCCTGAGTTAAGCAAAAATACTGAATTATATAAAGAAACCCTATTTTCTCAGTTGGAAATAAAAACAAAAATATATGGCCAAATTTTGAGATTCAGGAATCTGTTACTAAAGTGATGCTCATGAAGTCCTTAGTAAAATAGTTTTCCATTTGTTCTGCCAATAACAAGAGAAATGAAACATTTACAGCAAATTAGAGACATATTTGCTGGCCATTAAGCTGCAGCATGATTACACTGATGCCTGTGAGCTCCTGAAAGACAGAATTGAGGGCAAAAATCATTCACTTAGGCATGTTGCTGGAGTCTGAAAGTTTGTGTCCCCCCAAAACTCATATGTTGAAATCCTAATCCCCAAGGCGATGATAAGAGGAGAGAGGGGATTAGGTCATAAGGGTGGAGCCCTTATGAATGGGATTAGTGCCTTTATAAAAGGGACCCCAGAGAGCTTCCTGCCCCTTCCATTACATGAGCATACAATGTGAAGATGGCATCTATGAACCAGAAAGAGGTCCTCACCAGCCACTCAATCTGCCCAGCTCCTTGATCTTGAACTTCCCAACATCCAAAACTGTGAGAAATAAACCTCTATTGTTTATAACCATCCAGTTTATGGCATTTTTTTGGTATAGCAGCTCTAATCAACTAGAACAGATGTCGATGAATATTTCGAGTGAAAAAAATGTTTCCTCACACTTTTTCAAAGTGTGGTGCTGGCTCCTCAGCTAGTTCTCTCAGAAATTATGCTTTTAAAAGCTTTCTTAGGATCAGAGAAACTGATCCTACTTTATCTGCTGAAACTTCATGCTGCAAAGGGGGAAGCAAGAAGGTAATTGGAAGGCCAGCTTTTGCTGGGGTAGTAACGAAGGCAGCAAGAGAGCAGGGCCTGTTTCCTAACCGTGAGAATTGTGAGAGAAGAAAAGCTCTTGAAGAGACCCCTCAACATATGTGGCATGAATCAAAAGCCACAAAAGAGGTATTGTCTCATGAATCATCTTTTTGCAAGCTGCTTCTCTGGTGAAAAAAACCTAACAAATTCATCTCTCAAGCTGGTTCTGCCTTCCCCTTGTCTAGCGAGAAGGCCAGGTAAATAGACACAGCACCCAAACCACTATGGGTCAGTCCTTGGAGACTGATCAAAAGTTGTAAGTCACACTTACTTGCATGCTCAGTGTGTGTGGGGGATGGGGTAGGGGGGACCTGGGAGAAGACAGCTGGCTTGTCACCTGGCCTGCCCACCCACCTGCTCACCCACCCAGCTTCTGGCTCAAACTCATTTTAAAATAATTAGTCACTACATTTCCCATTTTAGACTCTATTTTTAATTATGTCACTTAATATCCGTATCTAAAAACTACAAATACTTACCTCTCTTAGAAGTCCTTGAATGTCTGAGGAATAAATAATTCATGAAACAAAGGCTTTGAGACTGTGTCTTTGTAGCAGAGCTGGTTACTGATTTTGCCCTTCTTACCTGGCTTCTGGAAGTGTCAAAGTACAGTCTGGTGAGTGCCAAGATATCTTCTGTCTCATTCTGTGAGAGGAAATAGGAGTCTTCATCCTGCCTGAGGCTGAGGAGGCTATGCAGGTAAAATTTATACTCCTTGTTACTCATGTTGAACTTTGAAGAACAGATCTCCTCCTGGTGAATGATGTAATAGAGGAGGAGAAGAGAGACTCTCTGGACAACTTCATCTCTGAGCTGACCTTCGAGGTCTCCTCCAGCTATTAGCAACAGGGCATCTGGTTCAAAGCACTAGGCAGAAGCAAAAAGCAAAACACCAAGACAGAAACACAAACAAAGCTTAACAAATAGTCCTAGAGCACTAATGACCACCATTTCCCCTGCTTATAACTGTATCAATAGGAAGGGAAACTGGGCAGGCCCAATAGCCAGATTCAAATAGGAAAGTCATGGCCCTGACTGATGTAGCTCAGCAGATTGAGCGTGGGCTGCAAATCAAATAAGAAAGTCATGGTTGGACTTTTATGTAACAATTATGCCCTCCAAGAAAGTTCTTATTCCCTAAGAGTGGTCCCTCTATGTCTAACTACAGAGGGACCACTCTTGTCCATTTGCTACTTTGAATAAAACCAGCTGACTCTTTGGCTTTGAGAGCAATGGTCCATTGTATTTTGAATGAAATCCAAGTTCTTTACCAGTTTCTCTGTCTACCAGTTTCGCCGGCCTAACCTACTTTCCCTACCTCATCTTAGCTTCTCTCCACCGTTCTCACCACCTTCTGCCCCTGTGATTTTTCTTCCAATTTCACCAAGCTCCTTCCCATCATCTTTCAGGTATTCTTGGTCCCCTCACTTCTCTTATCTCAGTTTAAAGTGCCAGCCCCTCATGGATGCCTCCAGCACACACCATCCGAAGTTGAAAGCCACCACTGCCATCCACCACATTCTCCAGCACAGCGCTGTGCAGTAGAAATAGAATGCAAGCTACAAATGTGAGCCCCACACATCATTTTACATTTTCTAGCAGCCACATTTTAAATAGTAAAAAGGAACTGGTGAAATTAATTTTAACAATATATTTTATTGAAACTTTTATGTGTACAATCATTTCAATGTGTATTAATAATAAAAGTTTTTAAAGTTATCAGTGAACTATTTAACACTCTTTTTGTCATGCCAAATCCTTGAAATCTGGTGTGTATTCTATACTGACCATCATGTCTCTGTTCATGTGTCACATTTCAAGTGCCCAAGAGCTGCACACAGCTAATGGCAGATCTGGTACTCACCATTTTTTATTTTCTTCATAGCACTCACTAGAGTCTAAAATTACATTGTCTATGGGTTTCTTTCCCTCTCCCCTTGATGGCAGCTAGTCTATTTAGGCTGGATTTTGTCTGCTTTGCACACAGTTCAGTCTTAGCATCTAGCACAATGCATGGCACCTATGGGGTATGAAGATGGAGTGCACGGATGCCATCTGCCTCCTTTTAGCCTATCAAGGAGAATTGCTAAAAATGTTTCCATGATGCTGTATTCATTTCATGGCCTATGGACAGACACCTCACTTATCTAATTTGGCAAGAGAAGGAGTTTGAGGTAATGCGGTGGAACATTGAGGAAAAGGTAGACATGAGTTGTTGAGGGAAGCTCTGGAAGCAGGATGGGAGCTGCCATTCCTGAGAGACAGTCAGGGAGCTGCTGAGAATTCTCCCAAGATCCCAGAAGCAGCCTAGTTCCGGGCACCAGTCTGAGACTGAAGGCACCGAGAGATACAAGTCCTGAGCACAGAGGGATTTGTCCCACTATAGGAAAGCTTATACCTTTTTTAAATTGAGGTATAACATGTAACATTGTATTCGTTTCAGAGATACAATATAATGATTTCATATATATATCACAAGATGATTACCATGGTAAATCTAGTTAACATACATCACTACACAGTCAAATTTTTTGTGTGTGATGAGACTTTTAAGATCTCCCTTATCAACTTTCAAATACACCATATGGTAATATTAATTACAGTGACCATGTTGTACATTCCATCTCCAGGATTGATCTTATAACTGCAAGTTTGTACCATTAACTACCTTCGTCCATTTTGCCAACCTCCTCACTATAAGTACAGTACTATATTGCTACATCTTTTAACCTATTCTCTGACATGGCAGTTTCAGTGATACTAATTCCATGTCTGCTGTGCATCTCCCTGGGTAATATCTGATACAGAGTGTCTGAGTCATGAAGACACAAGTCATCCATCTCTAATGCAAAGCTTTAACCACAACTTCACAAGCCACACAGACTCCAATCTCTCCCAACTGAACTGCAAGGGACAAGCACTCAAAAAGAGGGCAGGCTTCCCAGCAAGACCAACTCTAAAGATGAATATTGAGCCTCACCACGGAAACCACAGAAGCCTTTCAGTTCCCTAAGTAGCTTTCTAGAAATGTCCATGGTCTGGTTGCTGTTGGCTGGTATCACACCAGGAACCAAGAACGTAAGTCAGTTGAAACAGGTAAAATAAAGCCATTATTTTTTTACCTAATAACTCTCTGAAGCCAAATTATTGGTAGTATTAGCTACCATGTATTGGAAGCCATGTGTCCAAGACAGTGCTAAGCTCTTAGGTATTGGGCATTCCTTAGTCTATAAATCTAATTGGTTCTGGAAAAGGCACCAGATAATGATTTTTGGATGATGGGAACCTTATTAAATTATTTTAAATGAAAAAAACAAAATGTCCACAACCTATGTAAAAACCTACCAAATACTTCTGCATAACGTAAAGTATTTAGAATACCAATTACCCAATTATTTAATGCACAATTAGTTAATAGGTACATTTATATGCAGTATTCAAGAATTCTGCACAGAAATAAGCATAAATTATGTTTTCCTTCTGAGGGAGGTATACACACAGTACTTGTAAAAACTAAGCCTCAGAGAGGGTAAGCAACATGCCTAAAGCCACACAGCTAATAGCATTTTCCCAGTCTTAATTCCTGTTCTACAAATGATAGATTTTATTCTGTTATTCCATTGCTTTGTGCCATGGTGAAGACAAGATATTGGACCCACGTTCAGAGTTGCCATGCAACCCCTCACCAGTAATTTTATTTCTTCTGTTTGGAGGGAAGAAAATTGATCAATGAAGAGGCTAGGGGATTGTTAAGGCTTACTATCTATTAATAAGAATACGCTACATTTTTGCCCAGTCCCTCCACCCCCTAACCCCACTCCCACCCCCACCCCATAGCTGTCATCTTGCTCACTATCTGTGAATTGGTCTCTATTTTTCTCCCTAGTTTAGTTTGTTCACTGGACACCACATATGAGTGAAATCATATGGTATTTGTCTTTCTCTGACTGGCATATTTCACTTAGCATGTTTTCCAGGTCCATCCATACTGTCACAAAGGGTAAAGTTTTCTTCTTTTCTATGGCCGAGTAGGATTCCATTCTGTAAATGTCCTGTAGTTGTATTATTCACTCATCTATCGATGGACACTTGGGCTGCACAAGCACCCCCTGCATCAATGAACAGGGGGTGCTTGTGTTCTTTCAAATTAGTGTTTTGGGTTCCTTTGCATATATTACCACAAATGGGATTGCTGGGTCAAATGGCAGGTCCATTTCTAATGGACATGGACACAGTGTGGTGATTGCAGGGAAAAAGGAGGTATAAGGGGCATAAATGGTAATAAAAATACAATAAAAATGTTTACTTTTTAAGGAATAGCAAACCAGGCAGTACTACTGTGTTCTGCCCTGAAATTGGTACAGATGATGCTATAAATGTGGTTGTAATTTACTTTCAGTGGTATAAAGAAAAAAAATCACTTAGCCTAGAAAAAAATACTACAACCAGAGGGTCAAATGAGGTTGCGTTCATAGACTTTCAAGTGCAGTTCAGGTTGTTCAATGGGGCCAGGTAGGTAGGAAGAAGGGCATCAAGAACAAGAGGAACAGGACCTCCACGAGGCCCCCAGAACATGCACGTGTGGTCAGGGCTTAGTTGACAGCACACAGCAGTGTATGTGCCCACCCTTCATCCCATCTGAGGTGCCTGAGACCCCTGCCCATCTGTAGATCCTCCTCAATACTCTGGCTTTGTCTCTTCCTATGGTTGGACAGGGCGCGGGGCAGCAGAGGATAGTGTAAGGTCTCTAACCCTGCAGATGTTCTCTGCAGAAATGGTTTGTAAAAAAGCATGCAACTTGGAAAACAAATTGGTTTCTGACTTTGAAGAGTTTTAAATAGTTGTGGAGGCAGCTCGTTTTGTCTGAGAGATTTTGGTCATCTCGAATAAACAGATGCTCCCTACCCCTTGCTTAAATGTTTTGAGGCCTACTGAAAGGAAGCTTGACTGTGAATCAAATGACTGTGGGCTGAAAACTTTGTTCTCTTTTATGATATTTGAGTCTTAGACAAGTTTCCCTAATTCAGAAGCTAGTGGCTGGAGGAAAGAAGTCTATAGGGCACATCAGAGGGACTGAAGTATGAAAATGTGATTCTCCTCTGAGCATGGACGTGACAAAAAGCACTATGGAGAGGCAGTGGTGAGGGGATGAGAATTTTCAGCTCATCACCACAGTCTTAACTGAAGTTTTTGCAGAGGCTCAGTTGAGTTTGGGAAAGAATGTTTGTAAAAATTTTGCAAACCCTGGCACCTCGTAAGCATCAAGATCTGTCCAAAGCTCCGAGTCTTTGTTAAGAAGAGTGGGCTCATTCAGGAATAAGCCATTGATTTCTCTTTTAATCTTGTCAGGAGGAGGCATAAGGTTTAAGGTGGAGGAGGGAAGCACAGATTCTGGGCATTCGTTTTAAATTTTGTATGAACTTTGGGAAAAGACTGCTTAAAATGTGAGACGCCCTCCTTACTAGGCTAAATGGACACTCAGCTATTGGGTAATTTTCCGCAAGCTCTAATTCAGCTCCATTCACTGTCTGCCTGGTGAGAGCCTCAAGGACAAAAGCTGCATGAAATTGTTCTTCTACATGAATAAAGCAGTTGTCAAACCTGCAGGATAAACTTTAAGTATTTTAGACCAAAATATACTTAGAGTTTGATTTGGGATCATGAGTAAACCCACTGACTTCTTTTAAATTCTTAGCTTTTTTATAAGGTGTTGGGTTTTTTTGGAAGGTGGGGGGGGTACTAACAATTGACTGTAAAATACAAAGGGGAAATTGTATTCCAAGTTCCTCCCAAACAAAAATCAGGATGGATGTCAGCTAATGGCAGGCAGTAGCTTTTTGAGGGTCTATTTTAGATTTAGTGGCATTTCTGACTGCCAAAAAGAAGTCTTAACTGAGAAGAGTTAACATAAACTTGTTAGATAAACAAGATAAAGTTTGATGCTTTTCGCACTTTAGCTGGGCAGTTAGGACTAAGGGAGGGAGGGGTGTGAATTAGATGCAGAGCCTTAAAGCAGCGGTTCTCTTCCTTGAAATAGTCTGAGAATGAGAATCTCCTGGAGATTTGGGGGGGCAGGGGACCAGCAGGGGTGATACTTAGGCATGTCTTATTTCTCAGCAGCATGGCAGGTACTTTGCAAATGCTGCTCCACAGTGTCCCTGGAAAAGAAGGACTGGGCATTTCCATGAGGTACAGGAAATACAAGGGGACAAGCTGTCCAAGCTCATTTGAGCATAGCCATGTGGTCCTCACAGAAAGCAGCCTGAGGAAGGCATCTCCCCCTGGGTCATATGAAGGAGGAAATTGAAGTTGTGCAAGTCCTAACAGCTAGAAGGTGCCAGAACACTGCTGGTGGACTCCAGACATGCCAGGTTCTTTTCCCTCCAGTACACCTGGAACCCACGTAGGGTAGTGGTTCTCATCATTACTGTAGTGCAATTTATTCTTTTCTAGTTACTTAATCCCTCATTAAACTCATCAAAACTCCGTTCTAACCCTTCTCACTAAGAAAAGTCCCCCATCAGGCGAGACTACCCATTTTCAAAGGCTGCAGCTTGAATAAATTTACTTTTAAATGCACAGTGCTCTCAAATGCTTCAGACTGATTTTTAAGAGACCCTAGTTTTTATCTGGACCCCAAATAAAATGTGGAATCTTTTTTTCCATCCTCACTTTCTCTTTTTTCAGATATTTGGGGCTATAAATTCACCCTTTTGTCCTCTTTTCACCACAAAATCTCTAATACACATGCTGCCTCTCAGTGGACAAAATCCTTACAAAGGCAAACAAAGATCCAGTGACAATGAAGTCCTGTGATTTGCGCCCGGGAATTGGGTGATTGTGGGAGCAACAGGACAGTTTCTCTCTGAGTGTTTACAGATGACATGGGGAGGTGCCCCGGCTCCTTGCTTATGGTGATTCGGGTGAACTCTAGTTCTCTGAGCAGGTTAATCTGAGATTTGTCTTTTTCCTTTTTTTTATTTTAACCTCAGTCTTTTCCAAAGAGAAAAAGAAATAGCAGCAGCAAGAGGGCAAAACTATTAGAAACAGTGTTTCACTTCCTAGGAATAGAACTAATTCAAATGGAAGCTGACTTGACCAAATTCTCCATAATGTCACAGAAACCAAAAAGTGCAAAACAGCTCCTCCTTCCCCTCAAAAAATGGAGAACAATTTTGCATGTTTACATTCCCCCAAGCTAACCTAATATTCGACCAGCCTTAATAAGGCACGTCTGTCATTAGAGAACATTTCCTTGGAAGCAAATTCTCAGAGGACATTAATAAGATATGACTCCTAGCTGTTTCCAGTGGGAAGTCTTATGTTGCTATATATATAAATTAATGTCATCACAGATGAGCTGCCCACTGGAACACATGTTTTCTGTGGGAACCCTTGGCAACAGCACCAATTATTGAATTATTTATTATTTATTATTTGCACAGAACAGAGAAACGGTGTCTCTGTGAGCAAGACCCTTCTGCTTTGAAAAAAAACACTTGGCCAGAAATGTTTCCCCTAGAACCAAGCAGGATTGAGAAAGTCTGCCAAAATTTATTTTGGGGGCAACTTATTTGATTCTCTTATTAGGGTTTGTGGGGGTTGTTTTTTTTGCATCTTCATTTATTTATTTATTTATTTGTGGGTTCATTCTGAAAAATCTCGTCAGTCAGAAAAAGAATGGTGAAGCGCTTCTGTCTGTGGACATTTAAAGACATGGATTCTCACCTTTTGTGCTGCTCCTGTCAACCTCCCAACCAGGCCATCCACCCCCCCAACACAGATATTCTGATTCCACATTCATGCTGATTTTACATTAAAGTGGCATGAAGAAATTTTAACAACTCTGTCCTAGGCAAGTTTAAGAATTCTGTCCTTGGCAAGTTTAATCTCAGTCTCTGGAAAAGGAAGCCCCCACAGGGGCATCTTGTGAAATCTGCCCGGGGGGCGCTGATGAACAGCCAGGGTCTGAGTGGCCTGGTAGGCCAGGGAAAGGCTGGGAGCTGGGACACGGGAGCCCTGGGTCTCGTTTTAGCTTCACCTATGGCACTTCCATTCCCAACTTGGGTTTCTTATTTTTGAGAAGATGATTATCCACTTCGTTGCCCACCATGTAAAATATTTAAAATGCCATTGATAATTCAGGGAAAAGCACTTAAAATTCAACATTAGACAAACATCTGATCACTGTTTTCATGTCTCAGAAATAGCATCTATCTAACCTATCATGTGCAAGTTGACTGCAAACTCACAAAAGGGATTGGTGAATCAGTAAAGATCTACCAGTAAAGTTTGCTAAAGAAGAGAAAACTGAATTCACACTCACAAGTCAATACCTCCCAACCTGCAGAAGGGTGGTAGGAAGGCTGTCATTTTAATAAAAAAGAAAATTCTTCCTGTCTTTAAGTGCTACATGCAGAACGCAGAATGACTTTTTGTCTCCCAGCTATGGGAGTTACTATGCTCTGTGCACTTGGGTCCTGGAAGGTTCACCTTACTGTGCTTTACAGAAGAAAAAGGCTAGAGAATCCATTTGAACTCGCCCAGATACCTGATCCCATTCTATGGCACTAACCAGATTGCAGTCTCCTTGCATTCCACTTGTCCTCCGGGGGCAGCCAGTTTTCTCTAACAGTATTTTGATGAGGCTTCTTGAGTGGTTCAGGGGTGGGTGGTCGCCAGTAGAGAGGACTCGGAGTACTTCTGTCAGCTGGCCAGGGCTCCAAGTGCCACTGCTGTCCTGGGTGGAAGATTTCTCTGTCTCGGTAGAGGAAACAAGGCTGAGAAGAAGGAACAATGGCAGGCAGAGTATGGAAAGCCTGGTCCAGAAGTACATTTCCCCTCTTCCTTTATCTTGAGTCTGTCTTTGATGGAGCAGGTGGGTTAATGGTCAGTGTGAAATGGTAACCAGAGGAATTTCTGTGGCGAAGGGGGAAAATAAAGACTTTAATTATTGTGCCTGCAACATATTTGAAAGAATTCATTAATTGGGCGGCTAAGCTGATTTGCAGCGACAAGCTGTTTCTGAACAACAGGGAGTCTGTGGGTCATTTATAACCCCAAATGGCACCAAACTATCAAGGCTGTAGACTTTCAGACTGCAGGAAAGCCAAGAATGTTCTTACATTGCCTCTCTGAACTAACCATGGAGTCAAAAATTAAGGAGAATATGTTTCTCTGTCCATCATGCTGGGGGTATGAGTCGTGGGAGTTGGAACAGGAAACATCCTCATTTTATCTCCTTGTTAAGTAAAACTCTTGGTGCTTTTTGGTCCCTGTCACTGAAATAAGTAAATACAACAAAAAGGAAAATACCTTTTAGTAAATTATTAATGTCGTGTTGAGTTAAAAGGTTTTAGACAAAGAAGGATATGAGAAAAAAATAGTAACATTCAGAAAACACGAGTCAGTTTTTAGATTTTAGTTTATTGAAAGTACAAATGATATAGAGCCCTGGCCAGGTGGCTTAGTCAGAACATGATTCTGTAGACCAAAAGTCATGGGTTCAATTCCTGGTCAGGGCACATACCTAGCTTGCAAGGTTGGATCCCTGGTCGAGGTGAACACAGGAGGCAATCAACAGACATTTCTCTTTCATCACATCTATGTCCCCCTCTCTTTCTCCTCCACCCCTTTCCTTTCTCTCTAAAATCAATAAAACATATTCCCAGGTGAGAATTTTGAGAAAGAGAGAATTTCAAGACCTCATGAGCCATGATAAATCCACATACTCAGTGGCCATTAAAAGGATCGGCTCTCTGCAAAAAATTAATCTCTTCAAACAATTGCTTAAGAAATGCAAAAATTCAGCCCCCACTTTGCATCCACCAATAAATCCTACCTCCTATCAAAAAAATGAAGAAGGAGAAGGAGAGGCGAGGGAGAAGGAAAAGACGGAGAAGAAATGCAAAATGTTAACAGCATGTCAGATTTGGGCCCAGAGATGAGCTAATAGTGACTGTCGGGCAGGAAAAAACATACTGGGGTTACTTTTATGGGCTTTTTTAAAGGCATTTAAGATTCTTGGGTTAGCATTTTAAAAATGGCAGAAGATGATACAAACATTTTAAACCCAGTGCTTACCTTCAGAAGAAAGACAAATGATTATTTATCTGGAGATTTGCAGCCTTTTAAATCTCAGAGAGTATTTTGTGGTTGCAAAGTTCTCTGTTTTTAAAATTCCTTGACTGTGCACTGGGAGCTGGAAGGGATTATTTCAGCCCAGAGAAGTTTTCAGTTGCTATGGAGAAAGCTACTCTGAAGGTAACAATGAACGTGGATAAAAGTGAGAACTTTTGTCTGGCAAGTTTTCAGGGAAATCAAATAAAAGTGGTTCATGAACCCAACTTTTTCCCATCAATAATTACCATTTTTAGGATCATCTACAGTTAATCAATTTTTTAGAATCGGCCTTTTAAAAAATGTTGTTCAAGTACAGTTGTCTCCATTTTCACCCCATCAGGTCCCCCCATCCCACCCATGCCTGCTTCCCACCCTGGAACCTGCCCCCTTTGGCTTTGTCCATGTGTCCTTTATCCACGTTCCTTGATGACCCTTCCCCCCTTATCCCTTTATATCCCTCTCTCCTCTCCCCTCTGGTTACTCTGTTTGTTCTTTATTTCAATGTCTCTGGTTATATTTTGCTTGCTTGTTCATTTTCTTGATTAGGTTCCACTTATCAGTGAGATCATATGGGTCAAATGAAGTCAAAGGATTTTACCTTGCAGAATGGAAAGATTTTAATGTTAGATTAAGATTTTTTCTTTCCATTTGTTTTTGTGATAACTGTTTGATCCACATTCTAGTCCAGGATTTGTTGAAAAGATAGAATCTTTAGAACCTTACTTATTTTACGAGGTGCAGAGGTTTAATGTGGTTGTAACTTCAAAAATAAGGAAAAAGGGGTGAAATTATTAAAAATTTTTTTTATAATAGAGGGGTGGATTTTTTTCCTTTAAAAAATGTTTTATTGTTTATCTATTAAAATTGCCCCAATTTTCCCCCTTTGCTTTCCTTTGCTCAGTCCACCCCCAGATCCCAGAATAAGTCCACACACTGTTGTCACTGTCCATTTGTCATTCATACATGATCTTTGACTAGTCCCTTCCCCTTCTTTCCACCATTATCCACCTCTCCCCTCCACTATGGTGCTGTCAGTCTGTTCCATGTTTCCATGCCTCTGGTTATATTTGCTCATTTGTTTATTTTGTTCATTAGATTCCTCTCATAGGTGAGATCATATGGTATTCATCTTTTACTGACTGGCTTATTTCACTTAGAAAGTATTTTTCAGGCCCTGGCTAGTGTAGCTCAGTAGATTAAGCACAGGTCTGCAAACCAGAGGATTGCAGTTTGATTCCCAGTCAGGGCACATGCCTGGGTTGCAGGCCAGTTCCCAGCAGGAGATGCATGAAAGGCAACCATACATTGATGTTTCTCTCCCTCTCTCCTTCCCCTTTAAAGATAAAAAAAAAAGAAAGTATTTTTCAGTTCCATCCATGCTGTTGCAAAAGATAGAACTTCCTTCTTTTGTTTTGCTGCATAGTATTTCATTGTGCAAATGTACCAGTTTTTTTGATCCACTCATTTACTGAAGGGCACATAGACTATTTCCAGCACTTGGCTATTGTAAATAGTGCTGCTATGAACATACACGTTCACGAGTTCTTTCGAATTGGTGATTCAGGATTCTTATATTCCCAGCAGTGGAATTGCTGGGTAAAAAGGCAGGTCCATTTTTAGTTTTCTGAGGAAATTCCATACTGTTTTCCATAGTGGCTGCACCAGTCTGCATTCCCACCAACAGTGCACTAGGGTTCCCTTTTCTCCACATTCTCACCAGCACTTGTTGTTTGTTGATTTACTGATGGCCATTTGAATTAGTGTGAGGTGATATCTCATTGTAGTTTCAATTAGCATCTCTCTGATGCTCAGGCAATGTTTCGTCTGTCTATGAGGCATTCATATGTCCTCCTTGGAGAAGCGACTCTTCAGGTCCTTTGCCCATTTTTTAACTGGATTGTTTGTCTTCCTGGTGTTGAGTCATATGAGTTGTTTAATATTTTGGAGATCAAACCCTTTTCCAATATTTTGTTGGCTAATATACAGTCAGTTCCCTTTTTATTTTGATGATGGTGTCTTTAGCCATGCAGAAACATTTAGTATGGTGTGGTCACATTTGTTTATCTTTTCCTTTTGTATTGCCTGTATGACAGTCCAGTTCTCCCAACATCATTACTGAAGATGTTATTTGTACTCTATTGTATGTTCATGCCCCCTTTGTCAAATATTAATTGATCATAGAGACATAGGTTTATTTATGGCTCTCTGTTCTGTGCCATTGATCTATGTGCCTGTTTTTATGCCAGTACCAGACTGATTTGATTGCAGCGGCCTTGTAGCATAGTTTGATATCAGGTATTGTGATCCCTCCTACTTTGTTCTTCTTTCTTAAGAGTGCTGAGGCTATTTAGTGTCTCTCTTGTTCCATATAAATTTTTGAAATATTTGTTCTAGATCTGTGAAATATGCCATTGGTATTTTAAGAGGAATCGCATTGAATCTATAGATTGCTTTGGGTAGTATGTACATTTTAATTATGTTAATTATTCCTATCCATGAACACAGTATGTGCTTCCAGTTATTTGTATCTTCCTAATTTCTTCTTTCAGTGTTCTTCTAATTTATTTGTATCCTCATAATTTCTTCTTTCAGTGTTCCTCTAGTTTATTTGTATCCTCCTAATTTCTTCTTTCAGTGTTATAGTTTTCCGAATACAGGTCTTTTACCTCTTTGGTTAAATTTATTCAGAGGTACTTTATTTTTCCTGTTGCTATGGTAAATGGGATTTATTTCCTAGTTTCTAATTCTGATATTTCATTGTTGGTGTGAAAAATGCCCTCAATTTCTGAATATTGACTCTGTATCCCACTATTTTGCCAGTCACTTATTAGGTTGAGTAGTTTTTTGGTGGAGACTATAGGGTTTTCTATGTACATTATCATGTCATCTGCAAATAATGAGTTTTCCTTCCTCCTTTCCCATTTGGATTTCTTTTACTTGTTTGATTGCTGTGGCTAGAACTTCCAGAACTGTGTCAAATAAGGCTGGTGAAAGTGAACACCCATGTCTTGTTTCTGATCTTAGTGGGAAAGCTTTTAGTTTTTGCCCATTGAGTATGTATGATGTTGGCTGTAGGTTTCTTGTGCATGGCCTTTATTATGTTGAGGTATGCTGCCTCTATTTCCACTCTGCTGAGTGTTATCATAAATGGGTATTGGATTTTATCAAGTGCCTTTTCAGCATCTATTGATGTGATTATGTGATGTTTATCCTTCATTTTGTTCATGTGCCATACTACATTTTTGCAAATGTACCATCCTTGCATCCCTGGAATGAGTTCCACTTGATCTTGCTGTATGATTTTTTAATGTATTGCTGGATCTAGATTGCCAATATTTTGTTGAGGATTTTAGCATCTATATTAATCAATAATATAGAAATGTAGTTTTCTTTCTTTATTGTGTTTTTACCTGGTTTTTGTATCAGAATAATACTGGCTTCCTAAAAAAAGTTTGAGAGTTTTTTCTTTTCTTGAATTGTTTGGAATAGTTTGAGAAGGATAGGAGTTAATTCTTCTTGAAATGTTTAGTAAATTTGCCTGCCAAGCCATCCAGTCCAGGGCTTTTGTGTGCCAGGAGTTTCTTGATTACTGCTTTAATTTCACTAGTTATTATCTGTCTATTTAGTCTTTCTGCTTTTCTTGATTCTATTTTGGAAGATTGTATGTTTCTAGATATTTGTCTATTTTTTTCCTATCTGTCCAATTTCTTGGCATATAGTTGTTCATAATAATTTCTTACAATGTTTTGTATTTCTGAGATATCAGGAGTAACTGCTCCTCTTTCATTTCTGAT